TAGAAAATATGATAATGGTTTTGCTTCACACTTTAAGCTCTTTTTAAAATCTTAATTATATTTGATAAATGTCCTCAAACTCAAAATTCAGATAAGAGAATTCAGTGCATTTGAAGATAGTTTGGTAACATCATACACCGTATATTGTTTTAAAACCCTACATAACGACTTTCAGGTACAAATGTAAAATATATCTTGATGTGCATGCCTTAGAAAAATACCAATTATCTGCTTAGAATCGATTTAGGGACTGCTAGCCTGAACTACGTGTTGATGTAAAACGTGTTAAAAAATTGTATCCTTTAAAATTTCACATTAAAAGGATTACATAAAAACATTGAACCTAACCATTGTGAAAAAAACCACTCGGGATGGAGAATGTTATTACAGTTGATAATAAAGAATTCTTTTCCTATCATGTACTATTATGTTTCATAACTCAAACGTTATTAATGTAATTTTCTCTATTTACGTATTCAGAAACCAATGTAAATAAATATCTTAATATTGATTGAAAAATTTGGTAAACAAAGTTTGTTTATCAAAGAAAAAAAAAAAGAAAAAAAAACCACCCGTTTTCAAGGATTCAAGTATTTTTATACGTCATTGCGGTCGAAATATCCAAATTTTTAATTTCCTTTTTTTTCACCAAAGAGTTTTAGTAACCAATGAAATATAGATTTTAATAGCAAAGTAAACGAATAAGGTGATTGTTTTTCAATTTCACATTATAAAACCTATCTCTTAAGCTTATAACCTTTCACATTTGTAACACCGTAATTTACGCAATAATGGTATGCTTTTAAATGCAAACATTACTCGCATGAATTCGTCTTCGTGTATTCTCCCTGCAATAAAACATGCAAAATATTACGACATGAAAGATAAAATTTCATAATCTACCTGTGTAACAAAATGAAATTAATGGTCATATTTATTAATTATTCCATCGTTGCGTGTGTTCAAAATGCAGTGACTTTCTTGAACTGAAAAAGATATTTTCAAAAAAAAAAATGTACTTAGAAATGCATAACCTAAAATGCAAATAGATGCAGTCCGAACAAGTGGAGAAGAATTCTAAAACCGCATGAAAATTAAGAATTAATTGTTTTCTCTGATTAGAGGGAGGAGCTACCATAATGTTATAGCAATGTGTCATGATCTTTTTTTTCTACCAACACATTTTCCTTTTTAACTTATTATTTTTTCTCCAAGAATTTGCTTGATCCCTCTTTTTGAATACATTGATTTAATAAATTTTAAGGATCCCGGAGTTAGAAAAGTTCTCCAGTTTGAAAGGAAAGTTGTTTTAAAAATGTTATACTTTGAAAATTTAGTGAATTAAAACTAAACAATTGGCCCTTGGGACACAATACTCACCTGTGTAACTTTGCTTCTTATCTGATAGACAAAAAGTTTTTTTTTTCTATTAATTTCCACATTCATTTGACCTTTTCTCAATAAATAAATGCATATGAAGTATTTTCAAATTCCAATTCATGAACATGGGATAGAAGATTAAGTAAGATATTTCAACATTGTCTTCAAATCAGACCGTTTAAAAATAATTGAATTTATTTTACATCTATTGTAATGTTTTTATAATAAATGTAGTTGGTCAGATAAAGAAAGGTTTACATAGTTCAAAAAGAAAACAGACTATTTTGAAAAGTATGATTTTTCAAAAATCACAGTTTTCATATACTTCCCTCGATATTCCATAGTGTATTTCTCTATGACCTAGATCTATCTATAAAATATAATTATATATTTAAATACATCGATGTAGTCTTAAAATTCATGTTTTGGGTTAGAAAAAATCAGATTGAAAAAAAAATCCAGAAGCATTTGCACTGAAAGAAAAACCTAGTGAATTTAAATAGTGTGTTTCGTAAATCGTGATTAGTAAACTTTCAGTTTACTGGTTAAGATAGTGAGTTGTGGAGCAGGGGTCGTATATATACTTAGATACCTAGTGAAAGTTACTCATCAATTCTAAATTTACTAATCTTATCTAGTAAATATACCAATATCTGGTAAAACTACTATTAAGGTAGTGATTGTATGGACAGTGAATCTACTACTTGTTTTTTTTACAGTGGGGGTTTCTCCCCCGAACACCAACTTTTTTTTTTCTGGACCCACAAAAAACCAAAGCCATGTAGCACATATTAACATATAGAACACCTTATTTATACTGGCTATATATGCTGGCTATATATTCTACTAAATATTAATTATTCATTTGTTATAATTTGTACATTTTATTGAATGGGTATTTTCTCTCATTCATTACATGTAACATTCCAGTCAAAGCCTTACGCCCTAATTTGTAAATGTAAACATAGTTTACGACAAATAATTCAACAAAAGTGTTAAACCTTGCCATATATATTCCCATGTTAACCTTTTCTTGGTAATGAGATCTCCGGGATTTCTGCAAGGGCCCTGAAAATCCCGAATTCTAGATTCTACCGGAAGCGCTGCAGCGTGTGATCTATACTAGTATACAATACGAGCCTCTGTTGGGTGGGTTATACTTGAGGAAGAGAGAGGTGAGTCGGTATATACTATAGTAATGTGTGGGGTTTTTTTATTGTGACGAACAGAATTTATACCATTGTAATTTTGTGAATAAGAATTAGCGTTGCAAATGCAAGTAGTCTTTAGTAATCCAGAAGTAAATTGCTTGTGTAACGAAGAAAAATGAACCCTGTCGAATATAATAATTTCTACGTAGTCTTTTGGTCGAAAATCAACGATCCCCGGGGTCACTTTTCGTCCTGACAACGGCGCTTTGGTGGGTGATTTGTGCAGTCACTTGAGCGGTAGTGGTAGAGGACTGGCAGATTAAGGAGATGTAGAGAAGGCGCATACCCTCTCTAAATTTTTAAATAATTTAGTTAAATTTATAGGTATATACATGTAGGTTGCATATTAAGAAACACTGTCATGATATGCATAAAAATACGTCAAATTTAAATTTATAGATAAATACAACATTTGGCTCCCTTGCAAAAAAGGACATTATTTTGCATAAATATAACAGTTGCTTTACTTGCAACATCAAGGGAAAAATCGTTTCTTTAATTAATCGTCTCATTCCAGAAAACTGTTCTTGATACGAAAATTTCCGAATCCATTTCCTACTAAAGATGAAACTTTACTTGTCTAAGTTTTTTTTTTTAGAAATTCTTTTAAATACCTTCAAATTCCTTGGAAAATGAAGGAGGGGCGGGTTTTTGTTCGGGGGAAAACTTGTGTTCAAAATGATTTTCCATCGGCAAGAAGTGTAAATGCATTTTCTCTTCTATGGCTGATGAATGCAACTAAAAGAATTTCTATAAGTGACAAAATCAGAGAAAGGCCTTGAAAATACATGACCGTTTTACGAATATGCATGTGTAGCTCTTTGATGTGCCAACTATACTATTTCAGCTAGTTCTAAGCATGTACATATAGCAGATGATTTTGAAAGTTTTGTTTTTGTTATTACATTCATAAAGATATTATGATGAAGACGATAATAAATATAAAATGTTCGACTAAATTTTTACTTTTTAAAAGATAGTTTTGCATAGGTTTGTGAAATTGAAGACCCCAAAATAGACCCCCCCCCAAAGTTTCTTTGTCTATTCGTCAATTGCACAGGTAAGTCATTTTAACTCAAAATAATTGTTTGTATATGTACTTTTGGTAACGTCCCTCTCGAGAATATTTACTCATATGAAGAAGCCACCACTTTTGGGTTGAGGGCTGCAAATTTTAGCCTATGCTCGGAACTCAGGGTCATTGAGCAGAGAGGAATTTTTTCATGTTGACACCTACTGCGATTAAGGATCTCGGTTTAAATACATTCTCAATCGAAGGACTGATCTACACGTCCTGCAGCGGATTCTAACCCGCGACGTAAGGATCACTTCCTTATTCCACGATTCCAGATCAGACGCTCTAACCATTCCACTACAAGATTCAAAATTAAAAAAAGAAGATATTAAAGAGGGATCAAATATAAAAAAAAATCCACAAACAATACAAATATGTGAACAGGGCATAAGACACGGAAATTCCAGAGGTGAATCAGGTTCATTTGAGTAGTAAGCATCCTCAGCCGACCGGTCACATCCGTCTGCATATATTTTTTATTAAATATTTTTGGAAGCTTTTTAAAAGTAAATATATTGTTCATTTTGAAAACAAATCCTATAAGACGTGTTTTCAGGCTACAGAGGCTTCATCACATTATATGCTGTGTGTAACATAAATACATGTACAAGTAACTAACAAAAGTGAAAGTGTTCAAATTACAGCTAAATTATGTAAATAAGTTTGACAGAATAGTTTCTAACGAGAACTTTTGCATAATTTGATTATTGGTATATATTTTACACTTCTAACTATTTTCTAATTGAAGAAGCTTTCACGACATATTTTCGTTGAAGACATTTGCCGAGTAAATGTCTAAATTTGAAGCACTTCCCCTATATATGGTGACGTCTCTATTTGAGTGAAAAGTTCTCGAATGGGATGTAAATCAACATACAATCAACAGAGATACGTTTTAAATTTCTTGATATTTACAATTAAATATAAATTTTACACGTGAAGGATCAAATCCCTTATATGCATGCCAATTTCCCAGGGTGTCGTTGTGTCGGATGCCAGTGCGCGGGGACCAAAAATATGGAATGCTCCGTGCACCTTTCAAATGTTTGGTTTAAATTTACTTTAAAAAATATTATTAATGCAAATTTAAGGAATCACTATCTAGTTTGGTTTGGTAGTCAGGGACATAAACGAAATATTGAACATGGAATGATTAATGCATTCAATCGTTAAACAAATGATCCCATGTTTCCATCTTTCGTTATTGTCGTAGCATATACAGTTGAAACAAAAATAGACTTTCTTTAAAAAATACGTTTGTGTTTATAGGTGGAAGTGTAACTACACTTGTAAAGTTAAATTTTACTTTTAAATCTTTTAACTTTAGGAGCTCCCCTGGACAAACACTAAAGACTTACTAGGGGGCTTAAGGAGTTTCAAAGACCTCCTACCTCTGAAAAAAATCCACTTCCCCTAAATTAAATTACTCGATTCACCAAAGGTAAGTACCTAAACATGTTTAAATATCAAAACTATAAAGATGTTCTTTATCATCAACCAAAAAACATAGTAATACTATAGTCCCCAGACCATATTAAGTGTTGAGACAAACGCGTTATATAAACACCACCATCATCATCATCATCCATAGAAGCATTATAACGTTAACATTGTTGACAATATCTGTAGTAAGGCTTGGAGCATATTGTCCTCGGTGACAGGTAACATGCAGGTATATTATTTTTCAACCAAAGAAAAAAAATGCCGATAGAACACAATATGTGCAGTGAAGGTACGTGCATATTGTTGCTGAGAATACCATCACACGGCTTCTTTTTGATTGTTGTTGTACCACAGAATGTTTTGTATACTTATGTCCATTTAAAATGTTCTACATGTATATGGCTCTGATTGCTCTGAGAGAAAGGAGTCAGTTTTTAATTTTAAAGTTTTACAAGCCAAAAGACCTTAAACGAAGATCATACTTATTGCCAAAATGTATTCATATGTATTTTGAAAATCTCGTTTGCAATTCGACTAATGTGTTTAAAAATGTTTTTCGTGTGAAAACATGAACACAAAATAAAATTTTATTCATTTTCAAACTATTTCAAAATTTTAAAATATTTCAAAATTTTAACTTTAGTCTATTCTCAGTTTATGATCGTGAGCCCATACCTGGTCATTATGCCAAAGGGTTATCGTTATGAGAAAATAACTTTGAATTTTGCAACGGTGGGTATGGCCGGTCGGCAGGGGATGCTCACTCCTGTATGGTACCTGGTCCCAACTCTGAGGATTTAAAGGTCAGTGTCAATCATTGCTGTTTTATTGATTGGAAAAGAAACTTAGAAAAGATAGATAACCTTGCTCACAAAACACACATATAAACGAAAGACAATCACTGCAGATTTAAAGTTACAAATATCACAACATATGAAATTTGCGTCACTATCAATTAGGATCTTTCACGGATTATGGAAATTCATCAAGAGCATTTACATTAATAGAAATATTAATCTTCAGGTATTGAATATCAGATAATATAATAAAGCTAATTTAATTATCGTGAAACTCGAAGAAAACAAATCACATTACACCATAAAGGCAAAAACTATGATGGGTATTTGTTTTGGCGGGATTAGAGGTCATGTAGTGCGCAAAGGATAACCATGCAAGTTACATATCACATTTCACGTAGTACTTTTTCATTAGTCCAAATCGAATTCATATTTGAAGTCAGTTTTGTAGGTTAAAAATGGAAACCAGGTAACAAAACATTCACAGAACACTCTTTCACACCAATAAGTATACCACAGCTTAACAATGCACGCTAATCTAATTTTTAAGATAATATTTGATTGAAATTGCTAATGTGAAATATACACAAAATTGCAAAAAAAGAATCTTTTTCAGATAAATAGGTTTAAAAATGTAGATAGTTTAATTAAAATATATGTTATTAAAGTGTGTTTATTAGCAATAAAAAAGTTTTAATGTATGTGCATGTTTAAAAAGTAAAATAACATTCCTGCACTTGGACATGTACACTCAATGCTTAATGGGAGAGGACTATCTAAGTTTTTGGAACTTGTGTCCAATCCCTTTGACATGGTGTCAATAAAATATGTTCAAAACAAAACAATGCTTACTTCCTTTAATAATGTCGTAAACGAAAGCTGTCTCGTAAATAGACTATGGCAGGACCTTATATATATACTTGCATCTGTTGGGTTTTCTGTCGGTTGGTCAACATGTATTTTATTGTATCAAATAACACCATGCATAGATTGGGTTTTTGATATAATTGATTTTTTTTTCTCCCCAAAAACTATTTAGATTTAAATGTACCATCTCAATATTGTTGTAAAAATAATTCTTATTGAAAATCAGTATTTTTTTATAATCAGGTGAATACATACGTTAAATCTCATTTATTTCATAATCTTTCACGTGACACAAAACGCACCGTGTGTGACAATAAATGTTTAATACTAGTATCTGAAAATGGGTTTTTGTGTGTTAAAAAATTAATACTGAATTATTTTCAGAGTGCAGTTTTGCAAATGACAGGAGTGGAATTTCATCACAGGATAACACCGGACATGTTGAACACAGAATAAGCGAATTTTCTGGTCGTAAATTGGCGATAAATCATGCCAAATCCGAACAATTTTACACCCATTTGAAAATGTTAAAAGGAAGCAGTTTCAATCCTGATGACGGTTAATGTTAATGATTATTTAATTTCAATAGGATTATTTATTAAAGACAGACTTCCACTCTTATTTAGTAGCCCCTATGAATGTAGTTTTTAAATCTGTACACATTGAATGACGAAAAAATTAGAAATCTTTCAAAATTCTTAATTTGTTTACGTTTCTTTATTTCTTTGGAAGCGCCAAAAGCTGACATGATTTATGGAACAATTAGCAGTGTTTTATTTATTATGATAAATACACATGTTAATTAATTTACATGAGAAAGAAATTTACCTCGACCTCACTTAATACTCTTGTATACCAATTAAATATTCAGAAGGAAAAAAGCTATCTTTCCGAATGCATTTTCATGATTTCTTACGTCTCTCCTTGTGTTTTATGTAAACACAAAAATTTTGCAGTCACGCAAACAATATAGCTAAAAAGGAGATATGGAGAAAGTGTGTTCCTAATGAGACCCAAAGGAATGAAATTAATTATTCTGTTTCGAACATCACTGCATGCACATTTCTTTGACGCCAATAGTTTTAAATTTATGCAAGCTCAAATGAAAATTTCATCAGCATGTAAATTTCGCAACGTTCATTTGAAATTGTAAATAACGGTGTGTGATTACAAGAACTCTACAGATCAGATAGAGTACTAACTGAATGTGGTAACAGACAAATGTTCCTTATAGATAGTAGAGCTTTTGTCTGAATACGTGACATGTTCTTGATAAAATAATTTTATATGTCGTTATCTTTTTTTTCATAATAGTGTAGGTTTTGTTCCTTAGAAATTGTTGTTGAAAACCTTTTATATGTATATATACCATTTTCCTCATGATAAACATAAAGAAGCTTATAAAATAAATTGTATATTCTTTTCATATTCTAGTTTTCTTTGTAAATTTCTCGAAGTTGTATTTTTAACAAAATAATGCTTCACGAAACACTTGATTTGAGGCGGAACTGATTTGGTCATGGAACCCCTGGGAGAAAAAATAAAAGATAATAATAAAATGTATTCATATCTTGTCATTGACAAATAAATAGAATATTTTCCGCTCCGTCTAATATTTTTTTTTACACCCGAACTTGAAAATCCAGCTCGTTGCATTATAAACCAAACACAAAAAGATATCTTAATTGAAATTACCGTCCACAAACATTGTTCCCAGACCAGAGACATTTGGATGATTATGTACACCATTAACCTTCGAATTTACGACTATATCAAAGTAAGAGTTAATTCATTTTTTGGAATAAACACAATAAAAATTGTTAAATTATAGACCAACTTAACCTTGTGAGTATCTGGAACGCATCAACTTTCACCTTTCTAAGGCTGTGTTATTTCGTTAGCAAAATTAATGTTTTCCTAAAATACTTTTAATGGCACGAGGTTTATATGTCTTTCAGATGCTTTTTTAAATAAAAAATTTGAAATTTCCTTACTTGCAAGGTTCGGTCATTTGAATCATACAATATGATATGATGTTTTAAAACATGCACCACTTCTATCTTTAGCAACAACCGTAAGCAGATAAACGTGTGAACAAATCAAAATTCATCTAGGAAAATAACTATTAAATATCAGTTTAATTCAATTTTTTACTGCATTGACATAAATAAATAAAAATAGCAATATATCGGGAAACACCATCAAAACATTATAAAAATATTGTTATTTTGCGTGTTCTATAATAAAATTGAAAGATATTTTTAAAATATCACACTATCTAGTAAATTGCCAATTTTTAGTCCAAAGTTAATTCCAAACAGTAATGCACCAAAACGTTATTTTATATACGCCTTCATGATCTTCCTTTTATTCTTCTATATTCTGACAAAATTTATTCCATTAAATAAATAGTTTGATTTTTAACTAAGTGACTGAACTTTTCTCTGTGAAACAGTTGTAAATATAAAGGGGTAAAATATTTCGTTGGGTTTATCAAAGATCAAGAAGTTACATCCTTAGCGAAGACAATCTAAACCTTGATAAATAAACCATATCTGGGGTTCAAGTTCTAAAAAACTAACTCTTTCTCACTGAGATTTTAATCAAGTATTATAGTCTATAATAAAAGATTAAAAGTATCAATGTTAGTTATATTTTGTTCGAGACTGGTTGCTTTAAATACTGTTTTGTTATTTATCAATAAATTTCTAAAATAAAGTCTGTTCAGATATTTTCAGTGCTAAAATTAGAATATACGAAATTGTATAACAATTATCAAGAAAACACTGCAGACGTTTTCCATGAATTACATACAAATCAATTTCAACAGAATACTATAGTACACCTTTGATAAACTGTACATTATAAATTTTGGATTTAAAAATAAGTAGGTAATTTTATCTTATTCCCTGTGTTTTCTGAGGCCAATTGGGTTATATTACTTGAACATGTAAAATCCTTTCAGTTATCTATTCTGATTGAAAGTTTATGTTTATTTATGGCCAACATTGAAAAGAATTATGTTTTTTCCTAATATTTCGGTATCAATAAGCAAATCTTGATTAGGTTTGTATAATTGTCCAGCATGATTGATGGAAGCTGAAAATACCAAATAACAAGTACGTTATGGCAACCTAATTACGTATGTTAGAAATGTAAGCGTTTAAATTCATTGTTTTGGGTATTTTTAGACACGTAACTTGCGTTTAAATTCTATGTTTTTCTTCATATATAAATTTTTCAAAATATTGTAAATATACACATACAATTCATGACTACTTTTGTACTGTTTATCTATGTTAACGTTAATCGATGTTTTGTTTACTTAATATTCAGAATAATAAAAAATAGATATAAACTGGTTTCATTTCAGATTTGATACACAATCTTTGTATATAAAATGAAAATATATTTTCCAGCATAAATTGTCTGTAATTTGAAGTTCAAACAAATTCTTAGTTGCAGAGGGATTGCAAAAAAATAATACAAAGAAAATCCCTTGCATTAGAAACGGATACATATGATACGTTAATATTTTTTCTGCGTGAATATCACTCAAGTTTTCCTAAGCAAACACAACACAATCTGTCTGCCACATTTATAATTCACAGTACCTGGCAATTTACTATATCTAAAGATATCCAAAATCACGTCCAATATTTTTTATAACGCTGAAATAGACTCCAAGCATTCCTGGCAAAAATTGTGACCACGTGTATTGGCAATTTTAAACCAATGAGAAGGAATGATATAGAAAAAGATTGAATATGCAATTTTAACAATCCACTCTTTCATGAGCAGATTAATGACGTGTTTTTTGATTGAGAACATCTTACATAATACGTTATTTATGCAATTTATTAGTCACCAACAATTTCTGCAATTAAAATTATTCCACATACTTTCCAGTTTGAATCACTCGTCCCTTCTTTTTTTTATTCCATTGAAAAATTATGCAATGTTTCAAAGATATCCACCAAATAAAGATTTTGGTTTATTTGTTTTTTCCCCTTTAGCGATGCTAGGAAAATGAACGAAAAATGTTGAATAAGTATAATTAACGTTACATTAAATATGTTCTAATATAAGTACTAGTCGACCACTTAAATAGAGCAATTGATCAAAAGGAACACCGAAATATTTAGCATATACAAAGTTTTATTTTATTGTAATGACTCTCTATATGGTTACTCCTTAAAATTCCCTAATTTAATGCAAAAAAGCACAATTCCATAAAAAGATATACGTTCAACAATTTATTGTTTATTTACTAATTAAACAGTGGTTTCTATATTATTTTCCCTAGCCAAATTGACCATATATAAACTAATGAATCAGTGCAGGTATAATTTAAAAAAAATCTTTTTTTCATTTTTCTGAAAAATCACTGTAAAAAAGATAGCAAGAATAATAATTTCATAAAAAAAATGTATAAATTATTTTAACATTCAAGTTCATAAAAAAATTTCAAATATATGTAACAATATTTATATAAATTGAAATATGTAACTTGGTTTTCTTGTATGACAGCCACACACAATTTCAAAGTGTAAAAATTTTCATTACGTATCTACAGAATTTGTAAGTTTACAATTCTTTTTATCTCTAAAGGCCAACCAAGAAAGCCCCAAAAATGAGGTTATGTGGTACAAATTTAACCACATTTTATCATATTTAAACAAACCATTATCAACACATTGTGACAGAGGATTAAATGTATGGTTACAGTCATATCTGAAGTTAATCGAGAATAAATTTTAACTATGTATCATATTTTACTAAATCCTTTACGTTGCAATTTCTGTTGCATATATTAAACAATCTTACATTGATAATATTTGAAGAATTATATTTTTCACTGATTGAAAACGAAGGATATGAAACACTGCAGCAAAAAAAAAAAAATACTGTAATATTGTAATGGTATTATTAGCGTTCAAATAAAAATCGAACGATAAAATATTATTTTACATAAATACATCTAAAAGTTAAAGTTTGTCAACAATCTTTTTTTTAAAATAATATTTTGTTTGTTCTTTTTTGGGGGGTATTATATGTGTTATTTTTTTTTAAACTGCAATACTTTACAAAATACTTTGATGGGGGTATCGCTGCTTTATATTTGTATATAATAAACTGCAATACACGTTCAAAATCCTTTAAATGCATTTGTTGTTTTCAGGTTGATATTTACATATTTTTCGCTTGAAAATATAAATTTCCTCCAAGTAAAAAGAGTTTAGACCAAAAATAATGATAAGAATATTTATGTGAATTTCTTTTTAATATTTAAGTAAAAGAAACTCATCACTGAATTTTAACAATCTTATTAAATATTTAGCACGTTAAAAACGCCATGCATTCATTTTTTAACATAAATTTTAAAATTTTAGAGCTCAATAGAAAAACGTTCTGGTTTACATTGTAAAGAAATTTTGATATAAATTAGTTTTTCTTTGCTCCCAATCTTCGTTGTTCAATCCGTCTGTGTGTGACATTCATTCATATCTCCTCGTGTTCACATCTCGCTCTGAAAGACATGCTTCTATAAAAGCAATTTATCGATTGTCTTGTAAACATTATCTTAAAATAGAAACAGCATTGATTAGACGGAGAGCATATCAATGACCAGGGTATTTCAGGGGATTAATTCCCCGCTCATCGAATGACCGCAGCACAACAAAATTTTACGAAGATCGAGGATAACAGACCATCACAATATAAACCTTTAGTACAACATTTGAATATTCATTTTTACCGCACGGGTAAATTTTCCCCCATCGAAATAACATATTTGCAATTTCCAAATAAAAAAAAATGTTTTAAGGCTTGATAGTTAGAATAAAATCATCCTTAATAAGCATATTTGTTTTGTTTTCTTTGCCAAAAAACCGTGCAAAATATTTTCCTTAAATCATTAATATCCCTATGGAAAACACAAGTTCAATTTTAATGATTTAATTAGTTCCTTTCGTACTAAAAACAGACGCATTATAAAATCATGTCTAAAATTTATTAATATAAATAAACAAAAATTACGTACAATATACATGTCTTTATTATTATTTTTTTGTGGAATATATCAAACCAATATTTAAAATTTAGATGCAGCATACTGAGGTTCAAATCTGACACATTTATACAGAAAAAAGTCATCAAAACAAATAAAAATTATCAATTCCATACCCTTATATGTTTCATGCATATTTAGAATTGATGTATGTCATGCATTATTTTTTTTTTATTTATGACACGCAATGTTTGTTTTATATAATGTAAACATAATAATGGAAATATATATTCCGAAACACAACTCTGTCTCTAAAGACAGAACATTTCATGAAAAACACCAATTAGAACAAATTTTTAAAATACTATTCTACTTTTTAATTTAAAATAACGCAAAACAAAATGCATACTGATTTTAACCTCAGCATTTTCGTACAAGATTCCTGAAATTAATACTTACGGTGAAGCGATCATAAAAGCGATATGAACACTACAAATAGACATATTGTTAATTTCAAATTTGCACATGGTGCCGCGAAGCAGCACAAGCTCACACGCTAAAAATATCCCTGACCGACGATTTCACCCGCATTACAAGTGGCGAGATTTGCTAGCGCCCAGTTTAGTACAAAAACTCTCAACTTTCAATTACAAACGACAGTGCTGGCAACTTAATACTCTCCATTGATTTAAAGAGATCAGATCCGCTGTGGCGTTGTCCATCATGAATAACCCATACAGCACTCCACGTGATTGTAATATAAATAAACAGTTTCTAGATCCCCAAAGCATATAGATTATAAGTAAAACGAGGTCACCACTTCAAATGATGGTGTTTGCGATAGTTATGCCTTGCAGAAATCTGAATGCGCGACTTCCATTAAAACACAAAAATGCTAAACATAAATCCGGGCTAAATGAATCGTTATAAACATGACCACATGCGTCCCGATTCGATTTGCAGAGTACCTTCGTTCCAGAGAAAGCTCTTCTCCCCTTCCAACACTGGTATTTGTTTACCAGAGAACACTGAAACACGTATGTAAAACGAAAACAGATAGATGTGTCCACGGGGGATTTACGGACAGCCAATCAAATCGCAGCTAACATTCTTTGCGAGAGACAACCCCGTACCAACAATAATTCAATGTGCCTTGCTTAGTAAACCGCGTCGAATGTGTATGATAAAATCGTTATCGCTCTGTACAGGCGCAGTTTGTGCAGACAGTATAGAAAACACTGGTATATGCTTCAAATGGATTTAACATTTACGGATTCTCGAAATAAGGTAAGAAAAGAGTTTTTTGATACAATTTATAAACAAATACACACATGACATTCCCTGAATCATACGTGAATCATGTAGATATTTTGTGACTAGAAATGTAAACAACAATTTCGGGGGGAAATTTCGCTATGTTCCGGGCAGGAATATATCGGAAGGATTTTAAAAGAGCAAAAACAAGTTTTGTATCCCGAGAGGGATTCATGTCAAACTTAAAATGAAAGAAGAAAATATCCGACTAAGGACGCCCTGTAGAAAAAAAATGGACTCTCATATTTGAAGCTACCTGTTTTACATTAACCCTAAAATATATAACCTTAAAGATGAAAATAAATGGAAATGAATTTTTTATAAAAATAATAATAAACAAAAAATAAATCATTGATTTTACGATTATCTCATCCAAGATACAAGAATCAATTATGGGAAAGTAGTTATTTGTAGCTGTTGATAAACCGGGCATTTTAAATGAAACGGTTTTGGTTCAAACAAAATCAAATGTCTCAAAATATTTCATTAGAATTATTTCATAGAGTATTTAATAGATTAATAAAATCAAAAAAAAAAAAAAGAAAGAAAATCCCTATCTCAAAAATAATACTTCGGAGCTTGCCTCATACATATACATACAAACATCTATACATGTATACCTTTTAATTATTTAAGAAATAGTGTTTAGGCGATTTGACAACCTTTTAATTAAATTCCGAAACTAATATACCTTGGTCAATTTAATTTTCTGATGAAGAACACGTAGCTGTTTTCCCCCGACACAACGACACAGACATACATCATTTCCCACTCAGACTTCTCATTTTTGCCTGAACACTAATAAATTCCTTGCCTACAATTTATTTTTCGTTAATATTAGTTGTTGTAGCCGTATCATTATGATTAATGTTTTAGCACTGAATGAATGATAAATTTAAATTATCACGTGTATGGATAAAATTATGACCTTCTTAAATTAATATCTATCAGAAAGAAAAAAATATATAAAGTAGATAATATTGAATCAATTGCTTCGTATGAATCGCAATGAATATATAGCGTGATATAGGGTAGTTCAGACATAAAAGTTATTTAAATGCTGATTTTGTTTTGTTGTCGGCTCTACCCATACAAAAGCCCCCCTATATTTTGAAAAACTGGGCAATGGTTAAAAATGATAGATAAAAACGCAAAAGTTTCCATGGTTGAGAAAGCCTGTCATGCGACACAGCTTAGGGTATCTACACTTGTGCGCTTTTTCACAGGCCTTCTATTGTACACGATCAACAGCGTTAAAAACCTGTTCTTCACACAGCCTGTATATTATTTGGATCAAAACTTTTAAATCATATACAAGGATGTAGTTTAAAATTAAAGTAGGAAGAAATTGGTTACGTAAGCACGCTTGAGAAAAAATTCAGGTAAAATAGAGAGAGAGATTATAAAATGGAGACCCTCAGTCTGACGCACTATTAACAAATCTGTATTTTCTTCATTTCAGATATAGTGCAATGTTTCAGTTTAGGATAGTGATATTGAGAACATGATTACCAGTTTCCCAAAGGATAGTTATATTTTCTTGTGGATTCAATCATGGACGCCCCTGTAGATTTTTCATTAGACAGAGCTCGGATTTTGAATGGAAACATTTCTTCTTACAATGGGAGTAATTTCAGTGAATCTGGGAGATCTTCGTCTGTGGGGGGAGGAGGGTGCGTTCAGGATCTCACTCGAGGGTCTACGACCCCCTCCACCTCCTCCGACTTCCATAGATATTTTCATCCAGCGGGAATTGCTCTGGCTGCTCAAGGTATGTCGTCAAATTCTTGTAACCAAATTTTTAATACATGTGTAAAATTGACACTAGAATAGCTGCGTGTTTGAATTTTTTTTTCAACTTTTGTGAAGAGGGAGATGAAAAGTGTGAATGTTGACGTGCTATTGTACAGTACTGTAGAACATAATGTTGAATGGGTTAATAAATTTCTTCAGAGTATAGCTTTAAATTGAAAAAAAAAGAAACAGAATAACTCGCAAAAGTTGCTTAAATTTCCCAATTTATTACAGGGAATTTTTTTTTTCACTTGCAGCATTATTTTCTTGGCCATTTGATCAAGTTATTGAAAAAAAACCTAACATTGTTGTGACAGCTTTTGTAAATCATTTCAAAAATGACCCTATGAATCTGAATCTTTTCTTTACTGAAAGATTTAAAGCTCTACATTGGTCTGGCGATCAATAAGCATCCAATACCAAACCGAATTTCGGTTTTCAAGCCATACAATTTTAGCTTATAACACATTTTCAGATAAAGTGTTATCAGTCTAATTTCCTGAAATTTACTAGTGTAATTTCTGATAGCCGTCGATATAAGCGATATTTCAGGGCGCCATAGAAAACATCTGTATGTGGATAATAAATTTGAACTAGGTGTTTTAATAATAATGCAGATTTACAATGTACATATTTTATCTAATTTTTGCAAAATATAGATATTGTATATATATTCTAGAGAATATTGAATATATCTGTCCGTATATAAGCTTTTTTTTATTTTTCATATAACTATGTAAACTGAATAATGCATGTGAAGGAATGACAATTTTCTTCATGGCATTTCCCTGTTCGGATGTAAGGTCTGGCGATACGTTCCTAGAATAGAAGATTTTGTATATCTTTGTAATACTGTAAACCAATGAAAATTATTATAACCTTATGGGTTTTAAAATGGTTTCAAATGTTTTAAAAGATGTAAAAACATAAAACGATGATATCAGTAATTCAATGATTATATAGGAAATACAAGCCGTTGAATTTTGCACAAATACCTGGTAATCTACATCCTTTTTTATATGAAGAAACTTACAATATTTCAACTAATAACTCTCAGAAAAAAGTAAGATATTATCGAGGAACGTCTCGCCTGACCTTAAAAATTGCGCTTTTTCATCAATATGGAAATTACATTTGAATTTAGTTATGTTGGCATGGCCACTATTCTGTGATCCAAGTTTGTCTCGGATCCTAGCGGGTGGGCTTTATCGTGTGACTGCTTAAAAATAAATTCGAAGCATATTTTTGTATCTGTGTTAAATGTTCAAAGTCGTAAAATTAAGTTAACAGCAAATTGTAGTAGGATTTCGTTCTGAAGTTACAGTTGACCACAAATTGTTTTTACAAATTGTTCATTTGTTGTGAATAAAGAATACCATTGTATTATTAATTAAGAAGGGAAAAATGATGCACTTCTAAGAGAAGAAATTTCTTTACAATGAAATATGATATTTTGAAAATAACATGTATTTCACCTTGGAATTAGGACAATAAAAGAAAATGCATAATTATACAAATTTAAAGACCATGTTTTTATGTGAAAATATCAGATTGTCCATATTTCCCGAAGTCAACCTTCTTTTTTAATTAATTTGAATTTATTATAAGGATAACTTGATAAAAACTGCAATGATTAAGCCACGGCCTAATAGTTAATAAGTATAGTGTATAAATATTAACATAGGAGAGACACTTTTTTCTTCCATGTTATAATGAGATTTATTCCTGCTGTGTTGTATAAAATATGTTTTAATGAATCGAAAATGCATGTGTTAAAGAACAGCTGTGCATAGTCTTGAATTTAATTTATTAAAGAGCAATAAATATACCATTTTCTTTTAATTTTGAAGAATAGTAAACCTGAGTTTTTAAATCTGTTTGGGGTTCAGAGGAATGTAAATGTGAATATGTGTATATGAATTTCGTGAATTTGAATAGAGAAATCGCTTGCGTTAGATATACGTCATCTTTTGACTCAAAGTTTTTTTTTCCAAGATCTATTCTACTTCATGCTCTAATCCCAGATAATGACACAAATAACAAATGTATTGGGTATCATATAATTTTGATAACTGTAGTAACCTAAAGTTTTGTTGAAATTTTTAAACCCAGGGAAGAAATTTTGTTTTTTTCCCTGTGGTCATATATGAAATCTAATTGTTTTTATTGTATGGTAAACTGTCTCTTTTGGCTTTGTTTAAGAATTAACATTTTTAAAAAAAATCATATTCTAGAAAGAATGGTTGAAGTCAGGGATTACAATTTTAAAAAAAAAATAATTTTCTTGAAAGAATGCTTTAAGTCAGGTTATTCTAACTCATTTATTGCTCCTCTTTCATCTGGTACCTCATTATTTCATCATTATTTCGTATTGCTCTTTTCTATTCCGTCTATTATTATTGATTCTCTTTCTCTCTCCACTAACTGTACTGAAAAATAACTCGATAATTATGAACATGAATAATTTTATACAAAATATCCCATTTTCATCCCTGATTAATAAATTTCACAATTAACTAAAGCATGTTTTCAATTAGATAAATCAATATACCTGTCCACAGAATTATCTCACCACGAAAGCACAATACATTAAATATTCGTTTAGTTCTTTGCTGTAATGATGTCAAAGTTTTATTGAAATATATATAGATTTATGGATAAATTAAATTGTTAATATTTTTACATCAAAGGAATTGACATGGTGCAACTAACAGAAAGAGTGTTTGCTTTTGGAAAATTCTAATTGACAAAAATTAGCAACACGTTTTGAGCATCTGTTGTGATTTTTAATAACATTTTCTTCATTGCTGTCTTGAAATATTTACAATGACTATAGTAATAGCAAATACAACAGGATAATCATTTTCGTATAATGTGAAAATGACGTGAATGGCGTTGAAATGAAGTTTTAACTAACAGAGGATGAAAATATCCTAAAACTTTTGAAGAAAGTCAGAGTGGATTACAAGAAAGAAAAAAAATCAAATTATCAAAATGAAAATGCAAAGATAACGAACATCAACAAATCTTACTAATCTAATAAATAAAACGAATAAAAGAAGATTGAAGTACATTGTATATCTTTCTAGAAATGAAGAAAACCCGAGGAATAGCAAAAGTTTTAACTTGTTCATTAAAAGATTTTTTTCTTTCTTTTATTTAATCATGCTATAAGGTAAACAAAAGATGCACCAAAAACCCATTAAATATTTATATGTACAAACATTGATACTTTCAGAATGAATTTCTTTTTATTTCATTTTCTAATTAAGACACACCTGATATTGAAAAATACACAAAAGTTTTCCCCCATAAAAGGCGTTTTTTTTATTCAATCAAGAAACACATCGAATAAGCTCATATTTAGAATGAAACTGAAAAAGAACATGTGCATGATATCCTACATGTATAAATTTTGGTCTGAAATCATAAATATCATTATGCTCTCACCGGTGGGCGGAATAGCACACGGAGCACAGATGTGCTTCTATTTCCAAATCAATACACCATGAGCTGATGTCTAGCTGGAAATAGGGATTGTACATCGTCAAAAAAGCTATTAAAATACTTTCCTGGTTTAATATACCACATAAAGTATGCACCATCATGACAAAATATGAATATTCAAACATAAACAAGGCGACTTGAAAATATTTTGAAGAGAAAATAAAAACATGGCGATTTTTATATCTAACGAAAATGAGAACAGATCATTCTAATGTCTTGCGAATGTCTTCACCAAAATTATTTATAATTGTTTAGATAAAGTTATGATTTATGATAACCATTCTTCATATATTATATAAATATAAAATCTTCATAATATAGGTGTTATTGTTATTCATTTTGATTATAATCAAAATTGGTTTTATTCACGAATTCCTTCTGAATCAACCAAATCAAACTTGAATTTACGAATTGAAAAAACTAACTTATAAAAACCACCTTTACGTAATATTTAGCTTGGTTAGATTTAGAAAATCGATGGTTTCACAGTTTATAAATATCAAATCATTAATATGATTTGGATTATGATTTTTACATGAAATCAATCAAACCGTTAAAACGAAATTTCCGAAATTTCTGATTTAGTTAGGCGAGGCATTAGATTAAGTGTGGTAATTTTGGTAAAGTCTCATTTAAAATGTCGTAGGTGTCTACTATTCATGTATTTATATACATGTATGTTTAAGAATTGTAAAAAAAAATATTTCACAAATTCTAGCTTTTCATAAAATTATTTGATAGATCGAAACAATGAATAAAATAATAATAAAAATCCCAGCCTCAGTTGTATAAATATGAAAAAAGACATTTGCTTTATTTTAAAATAATGCAGACCTATTTTAACACACAGAATACGAGATAAAACTATATTTATTTATAATATAAATCAAAGAAATAAAGGTATATATTTTATTCATAAATGATGAAAAAGAAGAGATATTGATAATTCTATATTTTATTGACAACATTGACAATAACTTACCAAAGAAAAATGATTCCAAAGTTAAAAAGCTTGTTATTTTTAAAACACTAGGAACATAAGTCCTGTTTAGAATCGATCAAAATATTTTTCATCGAACAAAATAACGAACTATTTTTTATCGTTAATTTTCTCCTCGTTTCCTATCTCACTACACACATTTACAAAACACAACTTAAATCCACCGCCGCCATCTTTGTTGAAATTTACAATCAACACATTAAGAATCTGTTTTGGAAAATTAAATAAAAGGCTAAGAAATAGAACTCGATAAAACCTTCCATCGGTAATGTACAGTATTATGATTTACAGAAAAATCGCCCTTACATCTTCGTTGGCATTCAGATGTAGGTCATCTATAACATTAAATTCGGCCTTTTACGTCGAACGAAGCGTTAACAAAGAGCATTCGACCTGATTCCTAGCCTCGTCTGACAGCCAGTGACGATAGCATTGTAATCCACAGTGTGAGGCCAATCAAGGGGCACTAGAAAAATATTTAAAAGTTTATATATGTCTTAAAGTTTCTTTTAAAATTGTTGAAATTATGGTTGGTAGAAGCTTATGTCTAGTGAGGTGAAAATCGAAGAAATTTTGAAATGCGGTTTTGCAATATGTGATAAAATGAAGATATATATTTTCTGTATTTATGAAATTGAAAAAAAATAATGTACTTGTAAATCTAAAAGCAACTATAAACCAACTTAAAAAGTGGAGAGAACAATCATAAGCATGTATGCCTGCTGTTCAATCCAATTCAATGTATAAAATATATTTATTTATATATTTTAAACTAACCTAAAAAGTGATTATTCATAAGAAGTTTAAAGATAAGGAAATATTTCCTTTTGAATATAGACTAAAGAGTAGGGAATGCTGCTTTGATATTAACATACATGATTATTTTAGCTTGTTAGTGAAATAAGTAAGAAGAACATTAAAAGTTCACAAAATTAGAAGTTTTAAATATCCTATGGGGTGTGACTAAAGAATCCTCTAGTTACAGCCATGCCTGCCAGAAGATATAAGCTTTAATTATGAAAATGGGTGTTTCTATCATAAATTGCTATTTATGCAGTCATTCTCTTAGATAACAACACAAGAGGGAATGCTTTTACAACTTCAGAAAAAACCATGATCTGTATGGCATCGCACGATTTTTCTGTTTACCCAAGTCGCTTTGTTTACTTGAATTTCCTATGTTGTAGATTCCGTAATGTATGAAAACGTTGTGCAAGACCTTCAAAGAAGACCCATTAATTTTCAGCATTTGCTTTATAAAATGCAAGCGGGATTTGTGCTTGGAGATAAGACACAGTCTCCAGCAAAGGATATTCTCTAGAGAGTCGATATTTTGTAGGAACAAACGATTACGTTAAGTAAATACATCAGACACCACATTCTAGTAGGCTTTTTGTTTGAGGAGTCCCTTGTCCATGAACTCTCTTATATTTTTAACTATTCCACGTAGTAAATGCAATTTCATCTTGTCTTTGTCTCTTCGAATATTTCTAGGAAAAAAATTAAATAAGATTTCTAAGATCGGGCATGATTTATATGCAAGTATGAGAGGCCTATTTTAGTTGTCTTGGGAGACTGTATTATTAAAACTCTTATTCCATTCTTATCGTCTTTAAAGTAAAATAAATTATTTTAATACTATGCAGTTTTTTTCTAATCGACTCATCTTTTTAAAATTTTGTTTTGAATACTTTTTCAAAAAAAAACAAAACAAAACATCGAAACGTTTCCCTTGCGTACACGATCACTAGTATTTAGTACAATTGTAGGAGTTAAATATCGGTTCTCTATTTATTTTATGTATACATAACCTTTTTTCTATGCATATATTTGGTGAGTAATACACATTCAGGCAACTCAAATACGATAATTGATGAACCTTATTCCCACAAGGGCTGACATATGGAAACATTCCACATTTTATTTCACTTCTAAAATAAAACACATGTTCCATTTCACAGCATGATAATTTAGAAAAAAATGACAGTCTAAATAAATGACCTTTAGCTGGGAACCTACGTCACGAAAATGCAAGTGTTTTTATGGACCGCGTATTATAATACCAAGATGGTTAAAATACGGAAGGAAGCATTCAAGAATCAATCTAAATGGTATTCATACAGTTTATGACATGCTATGACCTTCATCGAAGGAAATTACTTTTTGGGGATTATTATGCAGTACCAAAAAAAATTGATATAATTCATGGGCTATACTGTTATATTTTTATGGATATTTAATAAAAATGAATTAACGACCGTATACAGTGCCTATTGACAAATACAAGGGATGAATTGGTTGTGTTGAACCTGAAAAAAGTAAGAAAAATGAAGTCTGAAAATAAATTTAACATTAATTAAAATCTAAGAATTCAAAAAAAAAAAAATTGACTGGATTGTCACTTGCAATCACTAAGTTTGATTGGATAAAAAACGAGATTATTTCGTTAATGCCAGCAAGTCCTTGCAATACGTGATGCTGGGTATCAGTTATCCCAAGCACTCCACAATCGTGCTTTATTCTCAACCCATGGAATTAACTAAACCTAACAAAAACCAATCATACAATATCAGATTTCCATAAAAAGTGGCATGTTTTGTTTTATGGCATATTGAGTTTTGTGATTGATATTCAAACTTTAAGGGGGCCAATGGGGGGAATGTTTAAAACGAATTTATTATTTTTTTTTTTTACGTTTATATTGAAATCTCTTTTGAATTTGGCTTTCATAATATTGCTTTATTCTGAAAGTTAAAATGACTAGAATATAGTTCAAGAAAACTGAATGTATTTTAAATCCTTTTTCATATTTATTGTGAGAATTTAGGTACACACATAATTACTGCAAAAGGAAAAGAAATTATAGAATTACAATCTGTATAAAACACTGTTTCGATCCTTAAAAGGTTAAAAAAAAAACGTTTTAACTTCCATATTGGATTTCATGATTTCATGATGTAATTTAACAATTTAATGACTAACTTTCTTACAAAAATAACAATTAAATTTTAATTTATGTGAATAAGTAGCCTTGTTTAGGATGTTACTTAATCAACAAAGGGAAACATGTAGTAATAATTCAACACTTTTACACAAATTAAAGCCAGGGTGAAATCAATGCATAATGAGTTAAATCAAAGATTTTTTCTATGTTAACACAAATTTGCTTTGCTTCTGTCATGCTTTATGATTATTTGAAAAACGACAACTGAGGTTGTATTTGTCTTCCATTAATTTATTAACAGAAAATTCTATTAGTTTTTGGGAAAAATCCTCATGATTATCTAAACAATTTAACATTTAATTAAAAGCAATACATACTTACATCTCCCAAAAGTTTGTCTTTTAAATAAATAATTTAACTTCTTATAGGTGCGTCCACTTATCCCATGATGCACAGCTATTTGGCGGGAGGAAGCTCCGCAATACCTGATCATCTGAAGTCTTTACTGCCAGAATACTACGCATCACATCCTGAAGGTAATGTCAAATTGAAGGTTTTTAGTATAGATATTTTATGAAAGTCACAAACATACATTGATAGTAGGTCAAATTGAAGGTTTTTAGTATAGATATTTTATGAAAGTCACAAACATACATTAATAGTAATTATTGCTACACAACAAAATTTGTGTCTTAACGCTATTTAATGGGAAAAATAAATTGTAAAATCTGAGAGAAGTACCTTTTTTTTATATAAAAAAGTTGCATAAGCATTCAGTATCCTGTCATGTTGTAAATTTTGAATTTACCATAACTTTTGTATTTACTTCCACCCGGTAAATTCAAAATTAACAACAAGACATTTCTAAAAATTGCTTAACAAAATAACTACCCTAGACAATCACTACTTGATATAGAAATTTAGACAGATCATATTCATCGAATTCTTGAATCACATATAGAATCGTATAAAATAGTGATTGAAATATAACTAAAGGAAAATATGCGTGTTTTAATATTTGACAATAAACATTTAAAACGTCTGAATACAGGGGTCGAAAAGGGATGGGGGGAAATCAACAATCATTTAATTCCTATAATGTTTACCTTTTCAAAAATGATATTTGAAGATTGTTCAAGTACATCCAAAACAACATATCACTTGTCTTTTTTAACCAACATGTTTTGGTTATTTTGGTTAAATTGTGGTTACTCTGTTAATAGTGCAGGATAAACGTGCTGAACTTTTTAAAAATTTCATGATGTCTTGTATTTACATTTTGGCATGACTGTCTACAACATCCTGTGTTTGGAAAAAGAACAATGCGCACAGACATCCATATCTCTTAATTAAGTTGAATATCTTTAAAATGTTAGTTGTTTTGCCTTAATTAACAATGTGTATAGTATGTTTTAGTCATAAATGTAGTGCATACCTCTGCTATGCTGATGCAGATTTTTACTGTATTTTTCAATTTTTTAACTTACTTATCTACGTTATTCGAAAAGCATAAAAATGAACATGCATACAAAAATCATATCATTATTACAAAGTAAGCGATTTAAATCCTACATTCATTGATTGTATGTAGTTTATAGTTATGTTCGAGAAAGTTCACTCATATAGAGTCATGAAAGAAACATACTTTTTGAAAATGAATCTTGTTTATAGGAATATTCAAATGCGCAATTTGTGGCAAGTGATTATTTCTAAGTGCAGTGCATTATTTTTTAGAATACAAAGTGATCTGGTTTGTGCATTTCATTTTTTAAAAAGAATACATTGCCAAATCATCGAAATCAAATTATCTAGAATCCTTGCTAAAGTCAAGGAAATGGTGAACAACTGTTTCTGTTGCCTTAACTTCCAAGTTTATACTAACAAAAAAAATTAGTAAATAAAAATATTCTCTTAATTGTGAAAGTTTTTTCACAAATTAAAGCAGCATTATCGAATAATTAAATGTTACTCATATTTTAAGTAATATTAATAATTTTACAAATCTTGAATCATTAATTTTTCTTATATTTCCTAAGAACAATAGATGACAGATGGGAGATCTCCTCAGTATTATAAATAGGTCACTTTATTCTCTTCTAATCTTCTTGGTTCTTGATTCCGTCAATGTTGATCTGATTCAGTTTTTAAATAAGGATAGTATTATAAATAAAATCTATTTAAAAACCCATTACATTATAAGACTATATCAAACACTTGGATATGACATTAAATCTTAATTTAAAAGATGCACAGTACAGTAGTTAGCAGTTTACAACCTTTTAGAACCTAAATATATCTTGCTTTTATTTTTACCTTATATATTTTAATGCTTAGTTTTGATTAGTATAACCTGAAAAAAATAATAAAAAGTAATATACCGCGAAGTTGACTACAGTCCTCAAATATAACGTGAATTCGAAAAAGGCTTTATTAGGTACTCGGAATTTAGGCTTTTGATTTTTGTTACTAATTGTAATGGTCTACATTTCAAGTTTAATGACTTAACAAACAAGGCATTGGCAGGTAAACCCTTGCTTGGTCTGGTATTCAAGGTATCTTAATAACGACCAGAATCGCCTCAAAATTCAGATAAGTTTGATAGACGTCATTAAACGTATTCAACGACACGTTCTCAGGGGCAGTCTAATTTTTTTTTTTTAAACTATCGATGATTTATAATTTCAGCCCTCCTATATAGGTAGATGTCTTATTTTTGATGTTTTTTACGTCCTTGACAATTTTTTACTCACATTGTTGTTTTACCAATATTTTATCCATAATTCGGCGGGATTTTTTTAATCACATTACAGTGAAGCTTAAATAAATACATATAATGTTTACTGCTTCTACTCTAGGATTGTCCCGTTACATGTTTCCTGGCCCAGGATTCCTCCCTCCTTACCTCCCGTCCTATATGTCCGCCACAGATTCCTTGTCTTTATTCGCCCACTCGGCAGGATCGTCGGCCTATCACAGGATTTACGATCTGCATAAAGGTCAGTATAGGTCTGCTGTACTCTCTCCACTGTCGTAGAATTTTAGCCTACAACATATTGTCAGATGGTTTAAAAATTAAGTAAGCATCATTAAGTTGTAAGATATGAGTGATTCAGGGTCTTTTTTTTTTACAATATTGGAATTTTTTCAACGTGGCAAGAGGGGTTAATATACCAAAAAATTGAGATAATATTTTATTTGCATTATGCAAGTATAAATGAATAAATATGCAAATTATTTAAAATAGTGCGATAAATAACATAATGCAGACATTTAACAAAATGGGTATATCGTTCATTAGATGTAAAGAAGAGATAAGAATATATAAAACAAAAATTATACTGATAATTGAAAATTCCTCCCTAACACATGAATACATAGGATGATGTGCAGGTTACACACTTTAATGGATTACTTAAATTATGTTCAAACCAAATGCATGTATCTAGCTTGACCCTTAAATTTATGATATTTTTGTAAGATTACATCCGTTCCTGCATTTACATCAATAGAACAACTTAAGACTTAACAATTATCACGTAAAAGATAAATGACACAGATTTTCTTTTAAAATTCAGATATATTTACTTACATAGGTCTCTCACTCCCATAAGAAGTGATATATGTTTAGTTAAACAAGTTTGTTTAACCAAGCCACATAATTTTGAGATGAGTGAGAAAATGTAACGTTACAGTTTCATGAAAGTTCTAGAAATATATAATGTTTAGTTACTGTAAAGTTTCTATTTTTACACAAGTCTATTTTTACACTATTAAATTGTCTCATTAATTTTCGTTGAAATAAATATTGATAAAAAAATTGCAATGAAGGTCCTCTGTTTGGGAGATAAAAATGTTTAATGTGGTATGTATCTTTAAATGACTGTCGATGTTTAGAGCTTCTTTTTCTTACTTCACTGGACTTTGATTAAATCCTAAGAGAGATTGTGAAAATATTTAGGATAGAAGGAACCAATTTTTTCCATGCCATTTCTTCTTGAAAGCCTCCAAAATCCTATGGAATCCCAGGGCATCCCTTTCTGGTTGAGTTTCTCCTCTTTATATCCAAAAGCAATGATCTAAAGATATGTAATTTTCCTTTTGATGAATTATTTCCATATCTTTCAACTCATTAGAAAAATATTAGAGATAAATCCAGACTCTTTTAAGAAATCAATTCCCCCATTTCGTTGAAAAAAAGTACAAAAAATCGTCCATGTTTTTGTTCTTTATAGTCTTTACCAACATTTTTGGAACTGTCCGACTTCGTATTACTTGTTGCATTTTCATGCTCAAAAATGATAATTTAAAAACGACGGATAGATTACATTAATAAGTCAACATCTTGTATATATATACTTGTACACTGTACCAATGTATCTATACTATAAGATTATTTATTATTAAAGAAGCAAGGTGTTAAAAATATTTTCATTTTTCATTATTATTTTGTTCCATTTTTTTCTGTGTTTAGATTAAAGTGTTACACTGTGTAGTTCCATTTTTATCCATATTACACTGAAATGGATGGAAAAGTAAGCAGTTAAGGAAATTTGTTACATTTATCAAGGACCAATAATAGGGAATCAAAAATTGATTAGAAAACTTTAGAATTTAAGTGAAAAAAGTAAATTAGAATAGGGAAATGATTAGAAAACATTAGAATTTAAGTGAAAAAAGTAAATTAGAATAGGGTGTGTTTTTTGAAACTGTTCGTATCAAAATGAAAAGTATGGTTTATAAAATAAACCTGCCCTTTTTACTATAGAAGAAGTACAAGTAGTAAAATGTGGAAATCAAAGTTCAACGTATTGCCGGCAAAACATATGCCTGTATGTCGAATTATACAATCCATCTATTCAAAACATCACTGAACAGACTGTAACCGAGGGGGAATATAAAAACCCGAAAGACCTTTTAATCGAGGGTCAAGTATCAGCCATATACAATTGGTATTCAGGGGATGTTTAAAATCACTGCCAATCATGTCGCCAAATCAGAAGGCCACTACTTATTTCTTCTATTATACCTGACAGTAAGACGGATACGATAGTCATGTTTCAGTAATTCAATATCAGATGTATTTTCACACTAGCTCCGCCTATTAATGCCATTACAAAAAATATTGTTTGAGGCCCATTTGGGGGAACAAGGAGAATGAATTTCATAGAAAAATATTCGTTTTCTGTTCATTTAAAATTCATGTAAATCCTGTTTTTATAATCAATATCTCGAAGCAGAAAGAGGTAATAAAGGATCCTTTTTATGGAAGGGAATAATGCCGTTATGGGTGGTATTTCTAATAGCAGCTGATCGCACTCTTTCCAGGGGTGACATAGCTTCTGCTTCATTACTGTTATGTGTGGAATAAAGTAAATATCAGTGGAGACAGAGAGCTTTCTAGCAAACACCATGCATTGTACTGTATTAATTCTGTTTTGATTTTTGAGAGTACCTTCTTGTATTCTCTCTTTTATGCTAGAACTAGTCAATTTGATATTTTTAAATAAATTTCTGTTAGCAAATGATGTTGATGAAAGAAATAATAATAAATTTTTAAATAATAAAAAATCCATTGGTTTATGCAAATACTTTAAGTTGACACCTTTGTCTTGTAGAAGCAGCTCTTTATCACGGAGCGGCTCGCTCTGGGTTATACAGTCCTCCATCTTCAACGTCATCTTCAACGGCATCCGGAAGATTATCCTCCGATCATGCATCTAAACGAGATTCAAAATCGACAGATTCCAAACGCTCACTGGATCTCAGCAAACATGGCTCTCGCGACGAGGCAACTGCATCAAAAGTTAAACCTTCCAAAGACATTGACAGAAAAGATGAACGAACGAACAAACGTCCATGTGAACTGTCGCCGACTAGAAGTAGAAAGTCTAAAATTCCAAGAGTTTCAGAAAATGACAAGAAACTCGAGAAAGAATGCCCAAAAGAAAATTCGACAACTTCAGTCTTAGAATCCAAAATCTTGGATAAGACTAACAGTAACAGTGAGGTTACCGTGACCATTGATGAGTGCAAGAAAATTGACAAAGATGACGTTTTAGTGGATTTATCTATTAAAATTCCAAAATCAGAGTTAATATCTCCCAAATCTCTTAAAACTAGTCCAACTGCTTCTGATGGTTCTCTAGAAGAAAAGACGTCACCTTTTTCAAATAAAGGTGAGTAAAATTCGGATTGCATTGAATTTACAATGAATTGAGATTATCACCTTTTTAGATCAATCACTGTTCGTTATCGTTTTCATTAGTTTTGTTCTTTATTATTTTGATTATAAAAAAAAATTAAAAAAGAGTATCATACTCACACATTTGTCAGACAACATACAACAAATCTTCTCACTTTTATAGGCAGACTTTGTAAAGGGCAGAGTTTGGACATAATTTATGATTTATTATTACTTGGGCCAATACCACTTATACTGTAGGATTTTTTCCTTGAACTTATTACACAAGTATCAAAATGTGAATATGCAAGATAAGTTCACATTATTAAATTCTTTGCAACACTTACCATAAGATGAAACAGTAAACAGAAGTTATATTGTTACATATATAGTCAGTACTATTATTTTACTAATTAAATATATTGCTGTGAATTAAATGAGGTATCTGAAGCATGTTTAGTGCATATAATATTTTTTAATTGTAAGGCTTCTATAAAGAAATATTCGGTTGTTATTGAGTTACATTCAAAGAGAAAGGAAGTATGACTTGAAACTTTTATCTAGAGAATATAGCTTGGACATAATTTGAGATATTATATAAACACATATTTTCTGCTGTTTTATTTAAATATTTTGCAATTTTTGTTTAAAGCACATTTTTTATAAAGAATTTTCAGTGTAATCATATTTCGAAATGCACTATGAATCTCTTTCATATACATCAACGTAAATCAAACACATTGGGTTTGTAGTCAATTCTTTCTTTGAAAGCGTTTGCATAATGATATTAAGTTTGCCTGAATTGACACAATTATCAACAATTAGGTTGACAATCTATGGCTTAAGATTCTGATAGCTGTGAAGTTTCGCACGCTCCTTTTGTTAAGGTCTGATGTTTCATACAATAGACATCATCTTAGCACAGCCGTTTATTTGAAAAAGATGACGTTAGTTTGCGTAGACAAAATTTTTCCACTCACCGAAATATAAGTAACATACTGAAAAGTAATGATAAAGGTGAATTGGATTCTGTTTTCTCTTTCTGCATTAAATTTTCTTCAGAACATATTAGGGTGAAAATATAAGAGTATTTTAAATTTGCCTGAAAAAGTACATGCAAAGATTTCTTGATTTGGTGAAAAATAATTGCTACTATGTTATATGATCATGAGAAACACCCGGAGACATTTTTTACCTCGAGGTTTTTCTATTACCTTTGTTGTTTGCTTTACAGACACTAAATCATCAGAAGACAACAATACAATGACCACCAAGACCACGACAACGTATTCAATGCCCTACTACCACTCAATTTACTCTCACTCTCAACCGGAGGGGGTCACAGATGGGAAGAAGGTCCATGCACCAACATTCACTCCAGAGATCGTCACTTTACCCAGCGTTGTACCCATCTCATCCCTTCCTGTACAAACAATAGCGTGTGATATGAGAATCAAGAAGGAAAAAACTTCCTCCTCGTATACATGTTGTAATCAGTCGTCTGCATTGACACAGAACACGACTGCCACTTGCCAAATGAGTCCAAAAGCTCAGAAAAGTAACACTGCATCAAAACAGAACGATTCCCACGAACAATTAAAAACTGACAGTAATAAACGGAAAGGCAAAGACAAATCGGCATCTGGAAGAGATAATTCAATAGAAAGTGATATGGACAAGCTCTCAAAGAAAACAATAGATTCATGTCAAAGTAATGTTATGCAAAGTTCAAAATGTTCAAATAAAGGCAAATTGAATAACAGTTCCAAAACACAGCTAAGTGAATCAAATAAAACAGTGTCAAGCGAAGTTGTCACAGATTTATCAAAGAAAACAAAGAGTCAACCGACGGAGGTACTCCATGATAAATCGGCTATCAAGCCGAAAACCAAATCAGCTTCTTCTACAAATGTGTCACCAAATGATCAGAACAGAGAAATCCCTTGCTTAACTCAATCCTCCCAATCTAGTACTGGAAAAGCAGAAACCGACAAAAGAGAAAGAAGTGATTCTTCGGCTGTTAACTTAGTCAAGGAAAAATCTACAATTCCCGAAACTAATTTAAAAAAAGAAGAACTACAGAGTTCAGATAACATTGTGCCAGATAACACGCCTTGTGATGTTTCTTCCAAAAAAAAGGCTGGGAAACAATCAGGGAAAAGACAGACTGGAAAACTGAAATCAAGTCTGGAGGATGGCGCAGGTATTGTAGAGAAACACAAGTTAAAGATTAAAAATAACCTTGACCGTAATGATAAATTTTTAAAAAGAAAAAAGTGCCTTGCCAATTCAGTTTAACCTAATTCATATAGACTTAAAGGAAAAAACTAAAACAACTCCCTTATTTACCCGATGTAATTTTTTATTCTAATGCACTACTCTTGATAATTTATTTTTTCTTTTCATTGTTTTGTTTGTTACTGTTTCATTGCGAAAGACTTTTCTCATTAGATAATTAAATACCTACTCAAACATGGCAATGGAACTCTTGTTACATGATAAGTATAATCGAGCTCTGACACATTATTCATTGCAATTTTCTACATCAGTAAAACACATCAATATTTTATTATCATACGGTGGACAGAAATGAAAGCAAACAAAAGGAGCAAGGGTTGTTTGACCTTTACTCTTTGCTTTAGATCGTATCAGATCCCCATTCATCAGTAAACCGAGATTTGAAATCAGGCATGTTTTTGAGAACTGGGAAAAACTGCGTCAAGGCAAGAGAGATGCAGCGGGAATTTTGTCCTCCAAGATCGATATGTGACTGTAGGCTCTCAGAAGCCTGCTCTGTCGTTCGAATCGATCTACGAGACTCAGATACCATAATTTCTCTCTTTCCATGTTTATGCAGTTGCTTGCTTCTTCTCAAAGATTTACTCAAAATGGATGCTTGGTTAGAAATTACTTGACTTTTTGTGCTTCAAATGTGCAATTTTGTTCTAGGAATGAGTAATATACCAATTGGAATAGCAGTAGCACAGAAACGAGAGGATAAAAAGACAGACAAAACAGGTAGAGGATTAGTCATATTGTATATAACGTTCTAATAACAGCAGCCTCTTCTCAACAAGCTATATTTCTAGGTGGAAATCTTATTTCATCAGTACACGAAACTAGTGTACGATCATTCAGACGATGATTACAATTTATATTTTATATAAATTACTGAGTATAAAAATTATTTAAAATAATTCGTTAATAAAAATGTTTTTTTAAATATTTTTGTTAAACGGTCTTTCTCCTTGTTTTAATGAGAATACTGGTATATAAAACAGACTCAGAAAAATTTAGAAAGGAAAATGTTCTCTTGAGATTTTCATATGAAAACGTCGTTTATAACAAGTCGAAAATAGTAAAAATATATATGCATATATAACCATAAACACGATTAATGGGTCTTCGTCTTGTACTAAAGATCAAATGTTCTAATTAATTGAGGTATGAATGTGTATTTGATTAGTTAAAGAAGCTGAATGTTTATGTACGTCAACAAGGCGTTTCGAAAAACTTTCCATATGATGAACCTCATATTTTTTGATTCTAATTGATATTTGCAAATACTATATAAGAATTATGCTACAATTTTGAACAGATTGTTTTATTAATAACTATGTTACCTTTCAGAGAGACAGTTGTCTCAAAATCTTTTAATAATATGATGCTTACATGACGATTATTTTTTTGTTTTTAGAGACATTAGAAATATCCTTTAATAATGGTGCAGCTAATGACCCGTCAGCACGTACCCATGGAGATAGGTATGTACTCATAGAATATTAAAAAGATCTAGATCACGATTAATTTATGCTAATCTAAAGAAGGATTTACAATCTCGTATTTAATATGTAATTTAAGACATCTAGATATGAAATACTTATAATAAATAAAATTAAAGACTTGACGGAAATATAAAATAAATTATAGGAATATTACTCGTTTTCTTTTGACACAGGATAAATTTGTCCTTGTTCTATCTTATCGAAAGCCTTTTACTGATAATGTAAACAGGAAGTTAAATACAGAATAAATCATCCACGGATAACACGAGCATTTTTATATTTGTTATGTTAATTTCAAATAGACCATTATTTACTTCCTCATTTATATCAAGTTTGCGTGATAAATTTTCACTATATTGCTGTAATATATTGCTTTGAATTTTTCTCTTGAAAATGGAAAATCCGTATTTGGAGGTAGCATGATTTCCTTTTCAGTGTACAAGTTGTATCCAACCAACGAGCTTTGTCAAAGTCCACCACCCCTAGTTCATCTATCGCTGATATGCGTAATCAGCTTCCGGCAAACCTTATTGTTACAGGTACCTCACTTACGAAAACACAAAATATTTACCAAAACATGAAAGATAATTTTTAAAGTAGACATAAATATATTACCTTTTAATGAAGGATAATAAATATGCTAAAAGAATTTACAGAAAACACCTTAAAAACAAGACTGTGAAAATAGAATATATGAAAGCTAAAATGTCCCTTTATTCTATAAGTTTAATATGATCATGCAATTTTGTTTTTATAGTTTGTATTATGAAAGATTTATTCATAATATTACCAGGTTCTGCAAATGGCACTGGGGTGGCTTGGGCAGATGATCCCTCTGCTAGACATTTTACGCCACCATGGATTCAATCTGGGCATTCCACAATCGGCCAATCACCATGGCTGTCACAACTTCCAGCTTTCAATCTTAGCACTAGTATCCCTACATCTACCACCTCAATCGAAGGGAACCAACTTCCCTTGACCATTCCACCTGGATACAAATTAATACAAGATTCTGTCGGACAGCTTTTACTTATACCTTCCACAAATATTGGTAAGAACTACTACCAGTAAATTCAGCACTACAATAAAAAAACCCATTACCTTTGCATTTTAAATCAAATTGAAAAAATAAAACAGGGCTTTTTCCACTCTTTTAGACATGTATGATCATCATCGTCTCTGGGCTTTTCCTGGAACACATACACCACAGATACAACAAATATTTACCGCACAGCAAGCTCCTCTTCAGCACCAAGTGATTGGGAACACTGCTGATAGGCCTGCTACTGACTTTACTCTTGGTGTAACATATCCCCAGCAGTTCCAGACCCTGGTATAATATTAAAAAGAATATTCGAAAATCGATCTTTTGAATTTTAGAGTAATATATCTGTTAATCTTTAACATAATGACTTGCCTAAAAAAGAAAAAAACATTTTAAAAATCATACTTTTAAGAGACGTTATTATGAACTTTCTAATTAAGATAATGTTAAATGACTTTCTTCAATTCAGTTTGCATGACAAGAAGGAATAATGCATGCTTTTATTTCTCTGTTAGTACCAGTCTCGTGATGATCAAATGATAGACAAGAAAAGCGTTCAAATTTTGCAGCCAAAGGTTGTCTCTGATCAAGAGATTTTAGAAAAAGATGTAACAACAGTCAAGGAAGAGGGGGCATCAAAAGTGGATAAAGAAAGAGAAAAAACTGACACTACCAAAGAAGGTAATTCACTATAACGACAATTCATATTCATGCACGAATTTCTCTGAAGCAACATTTATCAAAATCAGTAAAAAGCTTGGACTGATTATGGAATTTACGGATATATATGAATAATTACTGCAGAACAAATGTGTCGATTTACCCTTCAAAGTTTATAGACATTACAAGTAATAATGCTAATGATTCGAATATAATTCAAACATCATTAAATTCACATTTATCTGATCTAGTAATTTCATAAAGTAGAGAATTCTATGTTAAAGTCTTTCATCAATAGTCTAAATCTATTGAAAAGAAACATAATAAACTGTTCTTAACATTCAACAAAACATATTTTCTTCTACTTTTAAGCAGTATTTAATAGAAAATTTATAATAATAATCATAACTAATATCTTATATACCAGTAACAGAAAGCACAAAGTTTACCTGTATCAAAGAACATGTACCTTATTATTTTATGTTTTCAAAGCTATCATTCCATACAATTACTTCTTCATATACGATAATTACTATACAAAGCGGCGTTTCTGAAATAAAATGCTTAATTGGCTATTTCTTGTCTTTCTTTCAGAAGTACCTGCTGCTAAAGTACTGCCTACTTCAAATCAAGTAGTATTTCCTCCAGCTTTCAATGCAGCAGTTGTTACCGACGTACCGTGTACCGTAAGTGTGGTGCAGGCTGTCAAAGCGGTGACGTCATTAGTCCAGTCACGTGGCACGTCACCCATGATTCCTGGAACTGAATGTGAAGACACGCCTCAGGATAAGATAGAGAATGTGCATGTAAATAATGAGGTGTCTTCTTCTGCTGAGGTCTCTGGTTTGTGTTCCAAAGGAGTTGCAGCTGTACAAACAGAGAGCACTTGCAAAACGTCAAAAACTGATACCAAATGTAAAATTGAAAAAGAAGTCTCATTAAAGGATTCTAGTGAAGAGATTTCAGCCAATCATTGTGCTAAAGTGTCTCTTCCAACCACCACGGTCATTGGGGACGTCACAATAGTAGAAATGACACCGGACACTAAATCACATTCACATGAAATCGCATCAACTATTGATCAAAACAAAACAGAGACACATACCGATTTAATTCCAACAAAAGCGGAACAAGATAGCAATAATTACAATCCCTTTTTAGATCCTCAGATTCTTCAAGCAGCAGATGGATTAGAACTTTTAAGTGCCTTGGCTGAACAACGGGCAAAATTTGCCTCCCCTGAAAAAGAAGAGAGTAAAATTGATCAGACAGTTGCGAAAGATCAAACAGAATCAAAAACACATACAAAAACAAATCCAAAAGAAACAACTAAAACAAAAAGTGTGGAAAAGAAAGAGTCGAAACCAGCGGTAAAACAAGTGCGAAAAAAGTCAGTGAGTAGAACACGATCCCTGCCACCTGCTAAGCCAGACTGTAAAACCGAAGGAGGCAGTTATTACACATCTTCTGGTCTTCGGATCCCTCAAGGTACACATCTTTTTAGTGACGTCATTTTTTATCGTTGAAGTGCCCAAAAATTGCTCTTTTAACAAACTTACTCTTTTGATAGTTCTTCGTAATGATTTTTGCAAGATGAAAAGCACCTAAAGGCATCCATTATGCTGGAGTTTTAAAACTAGAGGAAATATTTGAGAACTGTATTCCTATTCCCTCTATTGATTATACCTATTTAAACACAGTAGGCCCTCCTCTATTTTAGTTTTGTAGTAATCTAATTTCCACATGATTGAATTATATTGCTTCTTGAAAATTGTTATTTCTTTCATATCTTTTTTTACTCTGTATTTATTTTGTTTTATGGTAGTAAAACCAAAGTTAATTTTCAATATTCTGCTTATCTCTCTGGAGTTTCTGTTTTATATAGTTATCTATTTTTATTATTTTATTGTATTAAGATATTAGCATCGGTTCTACTGTGTCACACACATTACAACTCAAAGAAACAGATCTGGGTTCTTTTCTTGAAATAGGAGACGACGAAATTAACGCCATAGAACTAGATATGAGAATTCGTCTGGCAGAACTTCAAAGGCTCTATAAAGAAAAACAAAAGTTGTATGCAAAATTACAACCGAAGAAAACCGACAAAGAAAAGGAACGTGTCGAGTACGTTGCAAAATTTATGTTATGCAATTCTTTTTGTGAGTGTTTGTTTTAGTTGATAACAGATAACTGATTACTACAATGAGAAAAAGTCATCTTTTCATTCAGAGGCTTATACTATTCTTGTAGCAAAATCGTCATATGAAAACTATTAAACTGAAAATATTGTCCAAAGGATGATTTTTCATAGATCAAAACAAAATATATTATTTCATAAAAGGAAAATATATGAGATAATTTATACCCTTTATTATTTTATATCAAGTAGAGATTGATGAATTTGCTTCATATTACTTCCTTTTTTGTGCCAAACAACAAATCTTTAGGCTTCAAGTAATCCTCTTTAATTTTCTTTGGGAATAAATTCAAAATGACGTGTTATTGATTACAGTGACAAACAGCGGGGACCAGGACGGCCTAGAAAGAGACAAAATACTACCGGATCTCCACAGGATAACAGCAAGTCAGTACACAGTTCAATCCCTTATCTTCTTAACCGTTATTTACTTTTTCTTGGAATTGATTACGTAAACTTTGTAATTTCCATGAGAAATGTCATCCGATCTGTAAGCTTTATGAAGAGTTTGATCATTAATTATAACCAGTACAGACTATATTACAAAGCATTTTTGAGTATAGTTAATGGTGATTTCAAGATTAAACGATTTCTGGAATTAGTACCGCAAAATTAGAAATTGAAGTCGGCTAATGGACCATTTTGTTATTTTTCATTTGTTCATCTGAGCAATCCGATAACAACCCATCCCTTTTTTCATATAAAGCAAAAAAGTTACATTGCCTAGTGGCTTTGTTTGCAAGTTCAGAACAAGGCATTGTTTGGAAATAAGTGGAAACGACAAAGCTGGTGATAAGTGAAAGCTAATGTTAAATTTGTTCCGTTCTATCCTTGAGAGAGAACTGAAAGTGGTTTCCTTTGACCTTGCTTCCTAATAAATAGTTATTTAATCAATTGTTATCCAAAATACGTCGCAATATATGTGATGTTACATATATTATTATGATGAAACATTGTTTCTTTTTATTAGTAGAAAAAAAAACATAATGAATCACTTTCCCTTACAATGCCATTTATATGTGAATCTCAATCATTGTTTTATTATAAATATATCAAATATGATAAGAAGAAAATGTAAAAGAAAAAAAATTATATTTCACATGTTATTAAAAGAAAATAGATTTAAATTCTCACATAAAAACATTTAATTGCAGCTCTGGTGAAAAGAGTAAGGGGAAAGAACCGCCTGTCAAGAAAAAGAAACAAGCGGAAGAGCTAGTAGACAGGGTATTTAGAAAAACAGGCGGAGGATTTGGGGTGAGTATAAAAACCAAGAAGTGAGATAAAAACCTGTTCTTAAGATCTGAAAATCTATGTCCAATAATGACAAAACTGTCTGATATGGAATAGGAAATCATAACATTGCATTTAATCAGCTGAACAAATTGATGACAAAGCGTAATAAAAGTGTTGTGAAAATCCATTTCATGAGATGAAACTTACGTAGGTTAATTAAAACTCTATTTTAGATGCCACTTAGCAAAAAGCTGAAGGCTAACGCTATGGCAGCACTTTTTAAGACTCAATCTGGCTTTACTATGAAACGGAAAGGCAGCGCATCTGGCGGTCACGCCAACGAGAACCAGGGTACGTGCTTCCTTAAACAGATCATGTTCTCTTAATTACGCATTGCTATGCATCCTTCCTCGAACTGTAAAATCATATTATGCACGACCTTAAACACTGTTGATCATCTTGTCAGTAGAATTAATTCAAATCTTCATTTAACGGTCTAATTCACAAATAAACAAATTAGAATTTTTTTACTGTTTAAAGACGTGCTTTTAGTAACAAGATGAATGATAAAAAAAGGTTAACATTTATAAAATTATATATTCAGATAATCATTTTCACTTTGGGAAGACTGGATTTTCCACCTCTACGGAAAAGCCCCTTGACTTCAAAGGTAAAAAAAAACTTTTTTTAATCCATCCAGATGCAACTTTTATTTTATTTGATTGATTATTTTGATATTATTTATTTAACTTTTATGCCTTCCTTTTCATTTTAGATATTAAAATTTATTTAAAAACTTTTGAATAGATTTTAAAAGAATATTCTTTTTTGGTTTTAAGATTTTTTGATCCTTGAAATTTTCTGTAGATAATCTCTTTGGATCTGCGATGAAAATGTTCAAGAAGATCAAGAAATCAAGTTCCCACTCCCATGAAAGTAAGAATTCTATACTGAAACGCAAAAGAAACGGAACACCCTACTTTAGGGGGAAATAATTATGTAATGTAAAGAATTTTGTATCTTAAAATTATAGATATCTTCAATTTGGTAAATATTGGTAATTTAACAGTTGAATGATTTTCATACAATAACCGGAAGAATATTGCTTAACATAAATCAAAAATTGCATGTTTAACAAAACATTTGGCAATATTATGGAGTTTTAAGGATTTGTAATGTTCATCATAAGTAATGCAGCAATATTTCAAAAAATAAATTCTCCTTTCGTTTCCCGGAACGATGCTATGGCTTTTTGAAAATGGCTTAAGTACGCATTTCCATTGCTCTAACTGGATAATCACAAAGTAAAGGTGATGGAGAGTTCCTGATACAAAAATTCACTACATTACACTACATTACGCCTCAACAGGGTCTTACGTATCGTATGCATTAATGACAGTCCTTGGGCCGGAAGTCCAAGGGTTACTACACTGCGCTAAGTTAGAGGAAATTCGACCTAATCATCTGAAAAACAGGCATTTACAAATGACAAAGAATAATTCCTTCGCCCAGATCTCGATATTGATGAACCTATTGTATCGTAGAAATTAAGCTGCAATTGTTGTTTAGGGCAGTCCTGCACGTTTTAATTGAATGGCTGGGAGGGAGGGTTGTTTAACAGTCATATGTTATCAAACATTTGAAGATTATTGCTTGTTGCGTTTCTTTTGCATTTCAGTATGTATTAAAGGGCTTAAATGAAATGAACATCAATGTTAACCTACCCTAAAAAGTTTCATAACAATAATAAAACAATATTGTTTGTAGAAGAAAAGCACAAATACAAATACCAGGATGGATTGTCAATGCTAGCAAATTATGCCGTCTGTCACCAACGAGAACAGGAGCGATCCTCTTTTCGAGATATACACGAGAACACGCAAACATCACACAAAAAACAAAAGGATAAGAAAAGGCGGGAAGAGAGGCATGAAGATCGGACTGAAAGCAAACGAGAAGATAAGGATAGATTCGTTGATAAACATGAAGACGAAAGCAAAGACGGGTTGGAAGATCGATTAAGCCTGTGTAAGACCGAGCATGATATTCCAAACGTTTTGGAGAGCAAAACAACTGTTGATTTTGAGTCCTTGTCTGCACTTACTAAACCGCATGTTCCTACTAATATTGACATTAAAGGTAGAATCACCTTTTACATAGTAAAAAATAAACGTTAATATAATTACTAAACATTATGTTCCCTTTCTTTCTTTTTTGACTAGTTGACCATAACGAATCTCCGCCGGTCGAGCTTTCATTTTTTTTTAAAATACTCAAGACATTTTAAAACTGTTTAGTTGCCAAAAAGGCCTCCTATAAATTTACATCACAGCATTTAGCAAAAATTCATCATTTCAAAATAAATGCATAAATTTTTAAAAGAATTTTATATACTTATATTTTTGAGGAGCCTAAAATTTTAGAATTCTGTAATTAAATTGCCCTACTAACCATATGTTCTTAACTTAAAAATTTGAAACAGTCCTCAAACTCATTTTTCTCCCCAAGGGAGAATAAAGTTTCGTATCTTTAATTTAAAAAATCAATAATGACAAAAAAAATATGAGAAAAAATAACAATAAAAGAAATTTCACAATGCTTTTATGTATCCATCCGAAACGAAAAAGTTAAACATACAAGTGAAAAATAGTTCCGTGTCGCAGTGATTATTTTAGATAAATAAGATGTCTATGAACACTGCAGAGGCTTTTGAATCACCAACATGGAACGAATATGGCTTTATATTTTGCATGTTATGTAATGTATCAAATTAATGCATCATGAAATATTATGAAGGGAATTTTAATTCAGTACACATGAAAGATATCAGTTTATATATGGGGAGAAAAAACATAATGGTATTCTAATTCAGTACACATGAAAAGATGCAAGTTTATATATGGGGAGGAAAAAAACATTATGATATTCTAAATCTAAAAACAAAAGAAAAGATTGGTTCCCTTTCTCTTTTTTATTGATCAAATTTATGTCAGATATTTTATTCATTAACATCTGTGACACGTCGAGCTTTTTCCTTGATATGTTTATTGTTAAAAACAACTGATGCTGCATATCAAATTACTTAATATCAATATTGTCAACCACGCTCCAAATTTCACATCAAATTTATTAGCGATCGTTGGCCATTAAAATCTACTATTTCTTTATTATGGATTATCAAATCCTTCCGATAATGAATGAAAAAAGGCTGTAATAAAAGTCGAATTGATATTGCCTTTCAGATTCCGAGAAAACGAGCAAGAGCGAAACTCCTTCAAACAGTAGCAATAAAAAAAGAAAGCCGGGAAGACCCAGAAAATGTACCCCAGATCAGTCAGAGAATGGAACAGGTGTGTTTGTCTATGGAATAATTGAGATTAATTACCAAAGAAATGTAATCGTAACTGTATCAAATTATCATCCCTCATGGAAAGCTGAAGTTTCTGCGAAGAGATTTATTCATCACAGTTTCTACAATTCTTTAGAATAATATATCTTTCTCATGAATTAAACCTAATATTCAGACATAATGGATTATGGTAATGCAAATATGTTTGAATGGACACATTTTGAAAATAAATTTAACTACACGTAATATATATTTAATCTAAATATTACCATAGATATAGTAATTCTAATTTAACTCGTCTTGAGACAAAATGACACTCTTTGTTATAAACGAACGAAAGAGCTAACTAACGATAAAAAACTTTTGCCTCTTTACAAATAACTTCAATATATTATAATTTCTATTGTAGAAACAATTGTTGCAAAGACGGCAAAGAATTTCAGATTGTTCCAACTTCAAAATTTTGAAAAAGACAGAAAGATAAAGGTATGAAAAAAGCATATATACTCACTCTTTCACCGTATTCAATATGATTATAATTAATGAATGTATCTTCTTAAATATCGTTTAACCAAATTTTTATTCCCTTATAAATTGAGTAGAAAAAATATTGTTATGACTTGTAAAATATATGTAGAGAGAGATACTGAAATAATGTAACTCAGCTTCAATACTTTGATCATTGTTCGTTTTCTTCACCTTTAACATTTATATGTACGCAATATCTCTGATGAACAGTTAATTTTGAAAATGGAAAAAAAATCAATTATTACCTCTATACTCTGTCATATGAATTCCTAGAAAATTACCCTATCCCTTTTAGATGGAAAACCAGGAAACGATGAAACCTATATATCTAGACGAGGAGTGGTTACGGAGGCGAAGTGAGCGCATCTTCTTGAGTGATCCTAGCCCGCAGCCATCGCCCAACTTCACGTCAACCGCAACACAGCCAAACAAAGCGGCCAATCAGCTACAGACAACATCTAAAATGACGAAAGTGACAAAACCTCACTGCAATCAGGCTAAATTACAAAAGGCTAAAAGTATCAAAGAGTTGACCGACAAAGTCAAGAAAAAGTACTCAAAGAAGTTTCAGAAGAATACAGACAAAATTGAAGTAATTATTTGTAGTTAATATTCCTTCCTGCATAAATACTAGTATCGCAGTTTTTAGGGAACAAATCCAAAATTGCCATGATTTGATAAGACTTTTCAAAACAAATAGTAAATATTGGTTTATAGAACAATGTTTAACTACCTGTACAGGTGCGGATCTAGAGGGGGTCGGGGGGTCAGACCCCCTGGAATTTGCAAGGTTATTAAATTTATATACTGAAGCAAAAAAAAGTTACCTTGAACCCCTCTTGGAATACGCAGACCCCCCCCCCCCGGTAAACGCGAATTTGTGTTTAAAAATTGGTATGAAAAGTCAAAGGTTTGAAGCATTAGAAGTCATTGATTATCCCCCCTCCCCCCGAAATAGGTTTTTAATGTTTGGGCAGTTTACGTTTTTTTTTTTTTTTTTGTCAAGAAATTCCTGGGTTGGATTTTTTTGGACTGGGGTGGACCCCCTCTTGAAAAAAATCCTGGATCTGTGCCTGCTGCATGATACAAAAAACAAGAAAGTAGATAAAACAGCTAGGTGCATTTAGAAGGGAAATTCTGAAAAAGAAATATTTCTTTCTAAACGGTTGTTTTTCCCAAAACATCTTTTAATCTCTTAAAACCTTAAGGAATACAAATGATAATTTTTGTTGCAGAGGAGACCACCGCACAAAAAGCAGCCAAAATCGAAGGCTTTTATCGACTCTGACAGCAGTAGCGAGAGTGAGAGTGATGCCGACAACATACCACTAAGCGTGCTCCGAGATCGCCCCCACACTCCAGGTAAAGAATATACTGACATCTTCTGATGACGTGAAGTCGATAGGTATTTCCGTATATCTGGAAAAAGAAAAATTCCGAAATACATGTACTTCAACAACTTATATCATTCCTAATGAATAAAATTGGTTCATTTAAGTGCACCTGTACTCTATATGTGGTCATCAGCTCATTCTGAGTAAATGATAGATGCATTAATCAATGAATAAGATTGAAATATTTTTTGAATGAACACGGACCTGTTGAAACATCATTGAATGGTGCCATGGAGGAGTGAGCATTTTAATGACACCCGCTGTGTGGTTCCTATAATATTCAAATGAAATATTAAGTCGGCTACAAATAACCATTACCTATTTATATTCAGAGCCTAAAACGTGTACCATAGACAAGGATGAGTTGGTAGATGGATTAAGAGTCCTGGTTTTCAAAGATGGCTTGTTCTATGAAGGAGCTGTAAAAGGGATTCGTCCACCAGATGTTTATGGTGTTATGGTGGATAACGCTCGAGGAAACCGACCTTATATTTACTCACAAGAGGAAATGCTAAAGGAAGTGGTAAGGCAATTATAGCAAGCGCAGCGAGGCATTCCGGAGCGCCGGTGCCAGCGGCTGTGTGGTGTACGAACGGAGGAAATTCGGGTTGAAATCTGAAATATAAAAATTTTTATCTCACCGCTAAAAAATAACAATTACCTAATAATCCTTTGCGGTATATTCATGGGGCTAAAACATAGCAACAACTTACATGAAAAAATTACAAACAACGATTTAATGCAATCTCCATGCCACAAAACTATCGTTTGCATTTAAATCAACAGATGGCTTTTCTATTTGACGTCATACTTTCGTACTTAAACGGATTCGGGTATTTCCGATGTTTATGGTGTTATGGTGGATAATGCTCGAGGAAGTGATTTCTTTATATTCTTTTCTTCTATTTTTAATGAATTGGGGACAGGCAATGCAAGTAAAAGCTGTGTAAAAGCTTTTGATAGTACATAACTGCGCTCGCCCCAAGGCAATTATACATGTACATATATAAAATTATGATATAAAGCAGGTCATTTTTTCACTGAATTTTTTTTTTTCATAATAACATTACAATTTCGCCAATCACTGCGCATAATTAAAAATAGATCCTTACTGGAAATTTAATTGAACTAAAGAAGGTTTAAAGAATGTAATAAATATCAATTTTTCTTATATAATATATAAAATGAATTTTCTCATCATTTTTTTCTTTATATTCTATTTTTCACTTTAGATTTTAGATGTTAGGCCTCAGTCATCAAAGGTTCTTAAAGAAGGAACCAGAATCTGTGCCTACTGGAGCCAGCAGTTCAGTTGTCTCTATCCAGGAACTATTGCAAAAGGTATGTATTAAAACTCTCATTTTTATTTTAAATCCAGAACGTTTGCAAATAAGAAAACAGTGATAAAAATTGTTAAGTCTTTATTGGAATCCCAGAAATAAAGAGTTGGAAATTCAATGTAAAATGGTTTTATTTCAAAAATTTTAAAACAATTTTGAAGAATACTTAGGATTAATCATAAAAACAAGCGAATGAATCTGACTGATTCAAATAAAATTCGTCAATTTTGTGTTATAAAATTCTAAATATTATAAAAATGAGTGTACAAGAAGCTGATCTTTCAATGTTGCCTTGTAAAATCTAATCCCAATTTACGAGTAAATAATTCAACAAAAAATTAAGTAAATAAACAAATCTGCGTTATTTTTTTTATTTTTTTTTTTTTGGAGGAGTTAAATTCACCATTATAAATTCTCTCTCCCAATTTATTATATAAAAAAGATTGAAGCATATTCATCAAAATTTGCGTAAAAGGACTATATGCGGTATATTGCATATATTTGCCCCCACAAAAGTCAAATTTTGAAAACTTCTTGAAATGTGCTGAATTAAATAAATTGTGTGAGAAATATAAATTAACAGAAAATATTATAGTGTCAAAGCAGTGTATTCACAATTTTTGTGTTAATGACGTCACAAACTAGTCCGATTTTATATCTTTTTTTCAGAAAGAGGACAAAATGGACAAAATTTCAACAATTTTAGTTTTAAAATTTATAGAGCGCAAGTTTGTTCAGGAACAATATTGACATATTTCATTGATATTATCATTCTACACATTACATCAAAATATTGATCCTGAACACACATGCGCTAAAAATATCGACGAAATATAGATATTTTTCTGTAAAATTCATAAAAAACTGAAATTTACGTCATGTTTGTGATCATTTCGAAGCCCATTACTTATGAAAATATTCAGTGCTTTGAAGTCAGCATATACTCCCCTGTTTAAGAACTTAATTAAATATATCTCCATCAAAGTTTGATTTGGGGGGCAAATATTGGTTATTACCGAATTAAGTTCTTTGATTTTCTAAGAAGTAGAATAGAAGTTAAAAAAAAAAACGTATCTAAGGGATTTTAACATGAGAAAAATAATAATTTATTCACTGTTGTTAACTATTTCACCCAATTAATGATGTAGATAATTCAACAAGCCAACTTAATTGAAATTTTGAAGCATGTTCATAAATCCTGCGAAAATTTGAATTTTTTGAGATATGTAATAGTGAATATGTGATGAATGAGTTGTAAAGGATACATTATTCACCATTGTCCTTTTCCCTGTGCTTCAACAGCTAGTCCCAATCCACACTCTGATAAATCCAGCATTAATGTCGAGTTTGATGACGGAGATTCGGGAAGAATACCACTCGATCACATCCGAATGCTGCCACGTGATTTCCCAGTGGTCTGTAAGTACAAAGAGGGAAAGTAATTAAACAAAGTCCAAGTCTCTGAGTACATAAAGGGAAAGTGACGCCTTTGTTCTTTTTAAAGTAGAGATTGATTATTTAAACATGATATTTCTTTGTATTTAATAATTTTGATATTTTTTTTATACTAAGTTCTAACAACAAGATTCTCAAATATCTGTTTTGTGTATTTTGTAATGTATCAGAATTGTGTTCAATTTTCATTCCCCTGTAATTTCGAAATTGTTTTCAAAATGTATTTTACAAAGATGTACGACAAAAAAAATGAAAAGGTTACCAGTACAATTATAAAGAAAACATCGAATTCCGGTATCTTGTACAAATGATTGGTAATGTACGTCAATAACAAATTAACATTGTTTTTAGATAACGTTTTCTTTCTATATATTATAGCGTATGATCCGAACCCTCTGTTGCTTATTGGTAAGCGAAGAAGACACACCACATCGGAAAGTGTTGAATCCTCCACAAAGTTATCTGAAAGATCTGAGAGCACGGACTCGAAACCAGCCCAGAAACGGGGCCCTGGTCGACCCCCGAAGCCGAAGTCTGAGAGAAAGGATGAAGAAGACTGTGATATTGATGTTTGCGGATTTGATGACGACATAAATGACGTGTTTTCGCCGTCTGCCAACAGCAATCAAAAGACTGTGTCTCAATCAAAAATAAGTAGTGAAGATAGAAAAACAGAGAAAAACAAAACGAACAAATCCAAAAAGGAAAAGTCTAAGGATTCGGCGAAAAGTAACCAAGAACAAGGTAAAAATAAGTTTTATCACAGTCTGGAAAATTTGAGGAAGGCGTCTTCTCTTGATAAGAGGCCTTTTTACAAGTCAACCCATTCATTGTCTCGAAAAGGCGGAAGTGACGTAAAAATGGAACAATCTACGCATTCTCAAGATGTAAATTCTGTTGATGACACAGAAAGAGGTAGAACTAAATGTTCTCCATTCAACAACTTGAATAGATCTTGTACAATTGAGCCAAAGGCGGCAGGTACGACTTCAATGTGACCTAGCTGGCTTACACTGCTTTCTTGTATTGCCCGTCTGTCTCCTAATACAAGCTACAGTGTATCACTAGCTTCGCCTTCTCGTATGTGCACACTCTCTAACGGAACACATAACTTGTATTACGTCAGAAGCTCAGAAAATATAACACAGTAATTGCATTTACCAGCTATGATATAATTATTGTTGCTTTAAGATCTGTTTTTCCTAACTGTGTTTCCTCGACAGCATACTTTTCCATTATTTAACATTATTTTATAGTTATTTTTAGTGGACATATCATAAATGATAATTTTGTGTAATTATTATGCCATGTTTTAAAGTATTGTTTCTTTGGTGATACTTGCAGCGTTTCTTCCTGCTCGACAACTCTGGGAATGGTCTGGAAAAAGTACAAAAAGGCCTGGACTGAAAGGGAAGGCAAAGAAGGAATTCTACCGATCTATTATCAGGAACAAAGAGCACATATCCGTGAGTAAAAGCTTTCAAAGCATAAAAATGGCTGATTATGTATGGTATTTGGACATAATAGAAATGATGTTGTTTTGAAAATTGACAATTTCCATCATTCTTCGAGAGACAAAATTTTAAAGATATAACTACATTTATGTTTTCATTTTCAACAAGACTACTTAGAATACTAGTACTTTTGTGCTGTTTATTTTCATATTTTCGATTTGCCATTCAGGTTGGGGATTGTGCAGTGTTTCTATCCACTGGCCGTCCTCATTTGCCATACGTGGGAAGAATAGACAGCATGTGGGAGGCATGGGGAGGACAAATGGTGGTCAAGGTCAAATGGTTCTACCATCCCGAGGAAACCAGAGGCGGAAAGAAACTACACGACATGAAGGTATTGTATCAAATATATCCATTCATCATCAGTTACTTTTTCTGACAATCGAAGCTATATTTCTCAAAACCATATTTAGAAACATGTCAGTTTTACCCAGTTAGGAAAATATTCCTAGAAAAACTTAAAATTGAGATTGTATAGCCTGAATATTTTTTCAATTGAAAAGAAATTTGTCTTTTTCGAGTAGCTTATCGCTGTACCCCATGGAAGAATCAGGGTTTTTTCGATTGTTTCATTGCAAATGTCCACCAAACCAGAAAACGGTCAGAAATTAAGTTACATTTCACTTTTCTATCTTCCATTCAGGGTGCTTTGTTTCAGTCTCCACATATTGATGAAAATGACGTTCAAACAATTTCTCACAAGTGTGACGTATTATCTTACACGGAGTATAGGAAAACGCAAAGACCGGATAATCTGGTCACAAAGGAAACAGACGTTTATTATTTGGCGGGAACATACGAACCTACGATTGGTCTACTGAAGTTTGAAAAGGATGTGATGTAATTTACAAAATGTGTTAAACGTTGATGACATGAATTTGTGGTAATGTACCACAAAAATGTTGAAGTAATTTGTTAAATATTTGTAGTTGTTAAAAACTGTGATAACATTTTTTGTGTTCTTTAAATGTCCGTAATATCTTCAAAATATTAAATAATAAGAAGCTGGCAATTTATTTCTGAAAAACGGATCGTTTTGAATTTCATTTTTTTAAGATAATTTTTTAAACCTGTACAATACGCAAGTTTACAAAATTACTCTCCAATGACAACTTCTTGTGAAGTTATTCCATCCTAATTCGTTTGTTATTATACATTTTGAAAGTTATTTTTAAGGCTTTTGATATATATTTTAAACTAGTTTTTTCGCTGTTTTAATATATGCATTTATTACTACAATTAAATTACTTTAAGGACATAATAATAAAGTGATAATATCTTACTGGAGTGCTAAAATTACATTTAGGATAATTAAAAATGTTTATTTTACTACTGTTAAATTTTTAGCTATAGAATATTGTACACACTATGGCAGAAAGGTGCTTTAGATATCATTTTTATGATTCTGGTTATACCTGTACATACAGGATAACTTGTTTTTCACGTATCTTTTATCCAATACGCTTTGCATTTTATTTTTTAATTCCAATATTGAAAACGCAAATAATGTTATGTATATAACAGTAATTTTCAAATCCTTGTGCTTACATTTTGTGTTCATCTATTATTCCAAATCATTCTGTGCTTGTTTAAATACCGCATTCTACGATGTCCCTTATGAAAATAACTTTTTTTTGTTCTGCAGCTACGACATGATTGTGCTGAAAAATATCCATGCATTACTGTGTATATAATGCAAATATAAGTGCAATAGCAATGCTTTTGAAAAAAAAAAATCAGTATACTTGATATAATCTGGTTGCACGTTGAGTCTTTCATGAATGTTGGAGTCAAGCCTTGTTTCAATATCCATTTGCTAGATTGTGTGGCATCGTTTTCTACAAAGAAAAATAGTACCTGCTTAGTTCAAAAGGGAGTAGTAATTATTTGAAATATATTAATTTAGTGCTTCAGAATTCCATTTTTAGAAGGGGATTTTGAGACAAGGCTTGAATAAAATACTTGTTGATATACAGTGGTTGTTAACTATGTTAATATGGAGTATTGTCAAAATATAAGTATTTTTGGTGCAAAAGCTTTTGATTGAAAGAGTGTGTGATAGATACTTGCTTATAAGAATAAGAGTGAATCTCTTTAAAAATCTTATATTTTTAACTGCAGTCAGACAGTGTCTCAAATAAAGAAAACTACAGCACGAGTTACTTGTTCTTCTTTGTCAATTGACCGAGGAACCAAAATGCGAGTTCGAGTTAAGGTTCTTTTATCGTTGCTCTTTCTAGAACATATATCTTTCTTACTTTGCAAATGCACATAACTCCTATCAATTTCTCATCAACATATGCTTTAAAGCAGTAAAATTATAAACTGACCTAATTTAACCTCAAAAACGTTATACGTGTATTAAAATAACCAGAATCGGGGCTAAAAAAAGAAATGCAAGTTGATATATATTGGATAAATGGTTTAAGGAAATATACAGCTTATATGGCGTTTACAAAATTAGATTGTAATATTGCCATCATTTATTCATTTATGAAGCCGTTTATGGCTTTAAGGAAATAGAACATCTTTGTACTCACCGAGTTTTATAGAAGTTATGTCGAGCTGTGCTTCGCAACCATTTACGTCAATTGGTTTCTGCAGGCGTCAATGGTTTCTTTGGAGATGTCCCCGTTGGACTGCGACCAATGCAGAGCAACACCTACAAAAGCACAGAGGATGTCATCTTGTCTTCACACCTACAATTCTTTACTTTTTTGTTTTCATGAATTAGGTAAAAAAACATATATTGTATTCCTAAGTATACTTTCTCATTTATTTTTAGATAGGTCGCTTTTCGTTCTTACATACACCTAGATAGACAGATTACTCATATTTTAAGAGTTTTTGCTTTACAATATCTATAATTCTTTATCAAAATTAATATACATCTATTAGGTATGAAACATTTCACGAGAACCATATACATGCATATATAACATGATGTCTTCTTATTCGATTGTCGCCTTGGTGCAATGTTTAGAGCGTTTACTCCGTAATCGTATAGAGAAGAACCCATCGTGTCATGATGTGACCCGTCCTATGGATGAGACCGTATTAACCGAGGTCCTGTGTCGCAGTAGAAGTTGGCAAGTAACAAAGGTCCCTAACTGCACAAAAGTCCCGAGTACATGTCTTAATTTGCAGCCCTTTCCTTTCAAGTGAGTTGCATCTCAATTTGAGTGAAAAAAAAAAAACTCGACGTTTAGCAAACACGCAAAGAAACACACAAAATCTTAAATTCCTCGATATATTAGACATTTCTATGGGCAAATTGATAACCAAATAACGACACAAAGTAAGGTTCATCCTCGCTTATCAATGGTCATCATTTTGTTTACATGTAATTGAAAAACGATTATAAAAAAGCTGTAAGTAATAAAATGATTAATTATTATATAGATATGCAGCAAGCTGGATACAACTTGTGGCAGTTCTAAGAAACAAGTATTAAATAGTTCACAAAAAGGTGAAGAGATTAAATCTCTATTATCTATGCGTCATTGAAAACTACTTCAAGCAAAGAATTTCGCAAATTCGTCTATATCAAATGGTTATCAATTACGGATATAAATAAATTCATTCCCCCCTTTTACGCTTATTTTAGTAACATTAATTATTTATGTCGGTTATATGGTCATGGGGTTCTAGCTTGTGTTCCTTACACTTTTCCTGATCAGCAATGACGAGATCGAAAATCGAATGCTTGATAGAAACACTTGGAAGGTATTATGAGAATTTTGATAATCTTTATAACAGAGGGGAATTATACACCTTCTGTCCAAAATAAAATCCCAGTACATATTTGTAGTACAGATTATTTTAAATCTAATTTCAACTTAATGTTACGTATATTAAACAAACAGAATTACAAAAAAGGGGAAAATCTATTTAAAGTCAAAGTAGTCAAAACTGTGGTTTTAAAAAATACAATTTAATTTCGAAAAAACGAAAGAGAAAAGTGTTACATATTGTAAAAGTAAATGCAAGAAAAATATCTGTACTCACATAAGACGATTTTCTGGAGAAACATGTCTTCTTATTGTATATCTTGTTTGTAGTTATGCTGTTAATCCTTGAAAAAGGCACACTGCAGCTGTGTTTAATTAAAAAGTTATAAATTTAACAACAGAAGCAAGAAAACATGGCCGTTTGATATGATTTTCAAACGCTAATGATATCTAAATTATAAACGTTATATCGATAAACGGATTACAGATACAAATTTTGCAAGAAAAACACACCATAAGCAAATAATTGTAGTTTCTCAATTGATGGACGAACTAGATGCTAGAAGGTAGAAAATGAGTTAGCTGTTCAAAAGTGTTTATTTATTAGTTTTTTCTCCATAGTCAACTATTTCCTTTCCTTTTTTACCCTTCTTGTATTTTTATGTCCCCGTCATTAAAGATGCGGGATGTATAGTTTATGCTCCCTCTGTCCGTCTATCTCTCGGATTGTATGTTAATCTTTTTGTCTATTTGTCCATAAAAAACTTTTACCTTGCACATTTTGATGGAGTCAAAGGCTGGTAAAGGTCTCGAGGGGTGTTACTGGTGTCACTAATTTACACCCTCAAAACATCGAGTTGATGCCTACTATCTCGGATAGGTTCTGTCACCTATTCATGTATCACGCCTCCAATGCTGATCTTGCGCGTTAATACTTTCAGTAGCTGAGTGATCGTGGCGGAAAAGGTGAGTCTACGCTGCCTTGATTTGACTGGAATATCATGCAAAGACTCTCTATGTTACAGAAACCACAGCAAAAGAAGAAATCCAGCGTTTGATTCAAAGAGAAGCTCGCCAAGAGGTCGTAAGGCGCAGATTGATGAAGGCCCTGTAAAAACCATTCAGCCAAAAGATCTCCTAACTATATAGGAACCTCGAATGTGCGAATTATGTTTGAAATTGGGAAGGCAGCCCAGGTAGCGACACACCATCCAACAACTCGGAATATGTGAGAGCAGATGGAATGGAACCGACATTTTTCAATGGAGAAAAGATCATTTATTTTGGAGATGCAAATGAAAACCATAAGCAGACTAAAGAACTTGCCATGAAAATGTATTCAGCTTCAGCCAATGCATTGATTGAAAGGGAACCAATCTGATCAAGTATTATTACAGCAAGATTCCACGAAAAGGAAGAGAAGTAACTGTGATCCAATGCAACTCACCAACAAATACTTCAGATTAATAAACAAAAGATCATTATTTCATAAAACTGCAGGCAGCAATGGACAAGGCACCAAGACGAAACAGCAATGCCAAAATAAATAGTGCAGACAAGTCTGGAAAAGAACTCATTATTAGCATCCAAGCAATTAAGTAAATGTATGAGAATGGAGATATATTTGTGGCAAAACATGATCCAGTAGATTTTCACTCAGTGTTTGGAAGACTTTGACTTTGCTGACGACCTATGTCATATGTCTCAGCAATTACACATGCAGCTCAAGATAGACAGGCTTGTCAAAGTAGCAGCAAAGACAGGTTTACAGGTCAACATTGACAAGACAAGGCTTTTCCACAACAAACAAACACCAATCACGCTTGGAGAGCATATCCTGAAAGACATATACTTCTCCACATACATACACAGCATTGAACAGATGAAGACATTAATGCAACATCTTGTTTTCAGACAAGGATTTATCTGTTCGGTACTCAGGAACAACAGTCGTCTTAACCACAAAGCTTTTCTAAATCGGAAAGGTGGTTCAGAACCCTCTGTATTCCCATGAAAATATTTAACTCCATAATGTGGCCCCAATAAACACGAAAAGGGCTATCAATTAACAATTGTTTATTCTTTGATACTTTTAATTGCAAGAAATAATTCAATGCGGAAGCAAGAAAATTTTCCATCAAAAAATTCTAACTGGTGTTTTAAGATTTTATTTTCTCGCCATTCTTATTTAGGTCGAATAGAAAAAAATGCATACAAGACGGAAACAGACCAGTAATAAAATCCTTAATACATGTATATGTTTCCGTTATTTCCCGATCATGACGAGGGGCACATGGCTGGGGTGACTGGTCGGCAGGGGATACTCACTCCTTCGTGGCACCTGGTCCCACCTCTGATGTTTTAGAGGTCCGTGTTTGCTTTCCTCCTAATTTGTATTGTTTTATGGACTTTTGATCTGGAATACTGTTCGTTATCTCCACATATTTCATCCCAAAAGGCCAGACACTTTGAGCGTTGATTACTTGTAATAAATTAACCTCAATATGCAACCGTCTTAGGCTTCATCAAAATTACCCTCGGTCAGGACGGACCGGGCAGGTATCAATCAATAGAGATGATAATGAAGCCACTGGCAATCACCTTTCGTATGATCAACAATATTGGAATCATTAAACCTAAGACAATGCTTCTCACTTGCTCAGCAATCTGAGATCATATATAAAGCTTGTTTACAAACAGCACCATTTGATTACCTTTTTCCTGGTACAATAAGGGAAATCTGAAATTCAGAATTTATTTATCAGAACATACTTCCAAGAAATGAGGAACTAAAAAATTACATTTACAGAAAAATACATGTGATTTATTCACAATTGTAATAGCAGTAAAATAGTTTACTCTTAATTTTCACTGTCACTGAATGTTTTCAAACCATGGCATCCTTTAGTTGGTGGTCCAAAATAGTAATCTCCTTACTCTGATATTAGGCTTTTACTCCTAGGTGTCTTTTTTGTACGTAATCCAGGAAAGCAAATAGTCTCATCCTCCATTTTACTGTTTTGACGATTTTTTTTCTATAAATGTCTGCCACTTATTCCTTTGTTTATTCTCCATACAGATTTTTCAGGAAAAGACGATATTTGACATTTATGAGAAATAACCATGTCCTCCGTCTATCCCTTTGACACTGTCTGATGACACTGTTCCTTTAGTTCAAGAAAATTGGCACTACCTCTCCTCATTTGAGTTTTGTCCAACCTTCTTGCCATGGCACTTTTAGTTCAATGATGGTATCAACTTTAACACTAGTACCCACCACATTGTATACCGAGTTTTGACCGCTATCAACCTACCAGCCATTTATCTGGCTGATTTTCATTACTCTTGTTGGATGGACTGTTTCATTTGAACAAAACAAAAATCTCTTTTGGTACCGCTTTCATGTCCCGCGTCTGTCTAGTTTTTT